AGCTGACGGATGGGCCTGTGGGCTGCTCCCGGACAAGTGCTTCTCCAGGAGCAGCCAAAAGCCACAGCTGATGGGCGGGCCTTCGGGCTGCTCCTGGAGAAGCGCTTCTCCGGGAGCAGCCCAAACGCCCGCCGGTGAGCTGTCCCAAAAAGCGAGCCTTTGGGCTGGTCCCAGGGAAGTGCTTCCCCGCGAGCAGCGCAAAGCCAGTTTTTTTGGAACAGCTGACCGGCGGGGCCTTTGCGATGATTGTGGGGGAGCACTCCTCCACAATCATCGCAAAGCGAATTTTCCCCATAGGCGCCATCGCAAAGCAATCGCTCTTGCGATGGCAAAAAGTCCATCACAAAGCGATTTCATTGCTAAACGGAGTGATCATTATACGAGGCACCACTGTAATTTAACTTAACTAGGCTGTAGTATAGCAAGCAGCCCCTTTCACTAAGTGTAGAGACTGGGCTAGATTACATTCATGAAACATCATAAGAGGTGATGCATGTAGCTGCGGGAGGCATTTTAAATTTGTGAAAATAGATTTCATTCTTACTTTAGCAGCAGCTGTCACTAAACATGAATGGGGAAAAAAACACTGTTCACTGAATGTCAATTACAGATGGAGGCATAAGACCACAACTGAAAATCAGTTCTGAACTTACCTAATATATTCTTCCTTGTTTTCCTCAGTAACAAGAACATTGCTTCCATTGGGTTTCAAGTCATGGCTCTTTATTTCACCTAGAATTTCCTTATCAACAGAGAAATACATTTCTAGGCCACATTCCTCAATATTGTTTTCCCTGAAAATAAATCAAATGCTATTAAACAAAAAAGATGCAGAAACATCTTTTAATGCAATACTACAACTATGACTACTTGGAAATGCCCTGATAAACTTATATGCTTGGATTGAAGACATAGTTTTTAAAATCAGCTGTTCTACTGTATAAACTTGGCCTTCAAAACAAATTTAGTATTTTTTATTTATTTACATTATTTTTATCCTGCCTTTCTCCTTGAAGGGACCCATTTAACACTTTTTGTTCACTAAAAAAAGGAAAACACACAAACACACACAACAAAAACAAATTCTACAATGAGATTTGAATTATTAAAGGCACTCCCATGACTGCTCGCCTACAAAGAGTAGACTCTCCTATGAATGTTGCAGATGAATATTTTCTAGGTGGTCTTATTTTCTGAATATCAGCATTTCCTATGTCAATATTATTTAATACAATTCATATCCCAATCTTCCCTTTTAACAGATGAACACTAATATTAAAATAATAAAATAAAAAACTTTGCAGACATAGATATCTCAACATATCCAGAGCAAAATTTCCTACTAAAAATATAAATTGGGATAGTAAAATAGAACCGCACTAAAATATTCGTCAGTTCTTATTTACAAGTAAATCATGCATTTATCTGGATTCTTTCATGTATCAAGAATCTGAGGACAAATACTTACTTTACCCAAATGAGAGAGTTATAAAACTCAGGATCTACGGATTCCAAATCTTTTAGTCCCACTGGTTTGTTGAGGATACGTTTGTAGAAAGGCAAAGAGAAACCTGTGTCTATAAATTTACCATGAAACAAAGCCTGCAAAATATGAGAAATGATATCATTTATTTGATAGCATTCCCAGCAAGTGTACTATATTTAAACTATGCCTGAAAAATAAGCTGCAAGCAAGTATCTGCATCTTAGATTTTTAAAGAAACCATTTATTAAAGGCCATGTTATGTATTAAAGCACAAACTATACTAAAAGGAAACAGTGATATTTATAGGTGAATCTGTATGAACCACCGCTATTGGTGACAAAAAAGTAACATCAAGTGGAAAAATAGAAAATTTGAGGCATTTAACCCCTCAGTACTGGGTGGGTTGCAATCTTTCATTGTGTACATTAAAGATGACAAAGAAATTAACACAACAATGGCTCCAGTTGCAGGAATTTGAATCTTTTTCCAGCTCTCACAATCATGGTAATACAGGTATATTTATGTAAACATACTGAATTAACCTCTGAATCCACATATAATATTTGTAAACTAATGAGATTTTTAAAAGTAACTATTATATCCTCTCTCTCTGAAGCCAATGCCAATTAACAACAACTTGATAGAAAAATACTGAACGATAAATATACCACAAAGTCAATGCTTTTATCTTAGCAAGTATTAGAATAAAGAGGAGAAACAGAATAAAAATGGTAAGAAGTTTTTAAACATGCCAGAAATGCAGGACTCCTCCTGAGGAGGATTACAATCTATGTTTTCCTGGCTCCAGGAAGATTTATACATTTCTACTTCATGTTTAGAACTGTCTGAGAGATCAAGAGTTCCTGACTCTCTCAACCAGCAACTCTCAGCTGGTTCTTACTGCCATGCCTCACTATAAAACACCACAAACCTGCCTGTTTATTATAATCTATGCTCTGGACTCACCATGGCAATAAATCTGCCAATAAAACGGAAGTATTTCAGGTGGTCTGGGTTTATATAGGAGGCTGGGTTTATCTGTAGGCAGTAGTTGTCCTTCCCTGCATATTCAAACAGGCAATACATTGGGTTCATCACTTCATGGGACAAGAGAAAAAACCATTCCCTGAAACCACATAAATAACTCAGTTAACACCACAAAAACAACAACAACAGTAAGTTTAGACATTTCGTATACAGATTCTCTAGTAAAAACATCTTCAAGAACTAACAGACTATTAGAACAAAGTATTCCGTTCAGACATTATGTAGTTAGCTAAGAAGAATATACTAAATCAGGGGTCTCAAACTCAATTTACCTGGGGGCCGCTGGATAAGACTGGGATGACATAAGGATCAGATACAAATAACTACTGACTTACATAACTTTGCAATTCTGTTCATGGTTCATAATCTTTCTTTCTATGGCAAACTCAAGACTTCCTTTTTGCAAGTCAACTCATCTGCTATTATTGAAATGTTTGTCTATCTCTCAGTGCTATAAATAATTGATATGAATCACATCCAAGTTGTGGGCTTGTGATTTTGAATACTGATTCAAAATTATAGTTTATAAAGGCTGCATGATTGCTGCTGACTTCTGAGCTGTTTAGCTCCAGGCCTGAACTGCATATTGACTGATATGGAGCACTTACCTCTAGAATACAGATTGCTTAGTCAAGATGTCTGGAATAGGATAAGACCATTTCTTGGGCCAAGTATATGCAAAATGCAGGACTGAAGGTATGTTTATTTTGACTGCTTTTAAATAATAGGGAAACATAATGGATACCAAACTATTTTGCTGCACCATCTAAGGAACAAAAACATTCAGTATAATGTTCCTAAATGGTGTCTCATGTAGCTGAGATATGAATTTTATTATTACTGATTTACACTTTCATTTCTTCATTACAATATATAGCCTCAAATTTGCTCTCTACACCTGAAAGGCTGCTGCAATATTATATACACAGAACATATACAACAAAAATCTTGAGAAAGTTTAGCCTTATTAGATATTGAAAAGTCAAAAACAGAGTTATAAACATTGTTTTTACCTCTAAGAAACTTTTGATTAAAATGGCCAACATTTTACAAAGTGCAACCCTTACAATTTATCCTATCAAATAATTTCACGTAGCTTGATTTGTTCTGTAAAGCAAGTTTTCCCTACCGTGCAACACCTCCATAATCTAATCCTTCTTCTCCAGGAAAAATGACCCACAAGCGTCTTCGGAGATCTGGAGGACTGAGGCTCATTATCTTAGTAGAAAAAGATTATCAGATGGTTAAGATTCAAACAGCTAATACATAGCAATGTAGACACCTTTTTTATTTGTTTGATTTATTGTTTTACACTACTTTCTTAGAACACAACCTAAACATAATCAAACAAATTACAAATCCTCTACAATTAGATAACTGGACCATTTTTCAAGGCTATTTACAGACAAAGGTTGAAAGCATTTATTTATTTATTTATTTATTTATTTATTTATTTATTTATTTATTTATTTATTTATTTATTTGCTGCCTTTCTCCTAAAGGAGGAGAAACAAGAAATATCAGATCAGTTTCAGAAACAAAGGAAATTATTTTTCAGTTTAAATATCTAGAAGCAATTTTACAATGCACCAAGTATCCAACCATAGCTCACTTACCTGCTGGAAAGAATCTTCAAACAATGTTTTTCTGCTTACTGTGATTTTTATATGCTGAGGCATAGCCAGTTGCTGAAACACACACACAAACAAAACAGATTTCATAAACTAGCCAACTATGGAACATTCAAGCACTCGATATGAAATGTGAGCAAATGAATGATGCATCATGAATAGGAGCTATAAATTTCATGCCCAAACATCTGCTTTCAATGTTAGGGTTACAAAATTAGTGAGCCAACGTGTGTTTCTCTTGTGTGATTGCAGCGAATATGCTAAAAAACAGTATCTGATCAAGCATCTAGAAAGTGGGAAAAATTAAAACTGGAAACAGCCTGCATGCAGCCAGAATTGTAATTCATATATTGAGATTGGTTCTGTGGCGTTCAGCTCTGCTATCACCTGTCCGACATAGCTGGGCAGGGGAACCTCAGCCAATGAGAGGACGGAGGGTGGTGCAGTAGTGGGAGGAGCTGTGTTATATAAGGTGTGTGTGTGTAGTTTTGGGAGATCAGAGAGTTGGAGAGATGAGTGATTAGAGTGATTGATAGAGTGAGAAAGAGCCTGTCAGTGAGGGAAAAGTCTGTGTGAGCTAGTGCCTGAGAAACAGTGATTGTCAACTTAATTTTATAACAGTGATTCACCCTTTTTATTTTGTGTAATCAATAAACCTTTTATTTGTTTGAAAGAAACCCTTGTCCTTTTGATTTAAAGGATAGGTTGGTGGCAGCAAGTTTCTTTTAAGAGAAGTAGTGGGCACTCTTATAGGCCTGGATGGGTAGAGGCTTGAGAGTGGCCTGCTACAGGTTCCATGCACAGTACAGTATGCTCACATAGAGAACATAGATGCTATGCGAGGTGAAGAAAAAGATAATCCCAAGTTCTTTCTCCCATACACATAGGTCAATAATGAACGGGGCTGCAGGTAGGTAATGTGTAGATAATTAACCAACACATGATGTGGATCCATTAATGTATAAAACAATGATTGAAACTCTCTGCTGTATTGTAATTCATATATTACAGGTGCAGCTGTCCATATGAATAGCATTTGTTGTTCACAATGCATTCTTCTGTGTACAGTATTAACTTTAGAAGAAGGATATGATGCCAATTCTAGATTTTGCCCATGAAAAAAATGTTCATTTGATTAAATTTGGGGCTACTCATACCCATGTTGATTAATTAACATAGAGAGAACAGACAGAGTTCTTTTAAACTTTACTTCCCTGAACATTCATCCAGGAAAACTATTCTGCCTATGGTAACTAATTAACCTAACAAACTGTAGTTCATATAAGACTGGCTTTCAGATAAAAACATCCAAGAAAACTCACTAAGGAAGACAGTTCTCAAGATCAAATCAATCAATCACTTTAAAAAAACCCCAACAGTTCCACATTGCTTAACTGTTTCCAGACAAAAACACTCTGCCTCTGAAGATCCTAGTGCACAGCCCATTGTCTGAGTGGGGGGACTCACCCCAAACTGTGGGAACAGGTGCCTCCTAACAGGCTCAGACCATGGGCTACCAGCAGATCATAGAGAATAAAGTTCTTGTGGCAGAAGCTACCATGATGAAAATACTACATTTAAAAAAGCCAACACATTTTGTACATTGAATTCAAAATACAAACTTTTACTCCACAGTTATAATTAAGTTCTTTCAGCAGAATATAAAAATTTCCACAAATACACTCACAAACTGAACTATAACTTACCTGACACCAAAACCGGAAGTATTGGACCTTTGCTTTGAAATCTCGAACATAGGCTATCTGAGGTCCATTGTCACTGGGGATAAAAAAAACTGAAGTTGGAACTCAACTGTTCAATTCATACTGATCAGAATCCAACTGGCATTCAGGTAGTTTGTGTAATTTGCCACGCCTAACTGACAAGGTGCTGTGGCAGATCTTGGTTTCATGCCCTATCAAATGCCCGAGCAACTCAAGTGAATTCTAAAAGTCATCGAATAGTCACAACTACGCTAGCTGCCGCAAATTATGCAAAAACCAATGGTATTCTTGCTATTAATTCTGTGGCTTAGTCTAGTCAACTAAATATGTTATTCCAAGTAATGAAGACTCCTTTTGTGAATACCTCAAAGTAAGTTATTTCACAGAGCAAAATATGTGAAGTTATTCTAATCATAATCAATCTTTGAGAAAGCATGTCAGGCTTTTCCCATTCTATTAAATACAAACGTCAGTGTTTTGGCAGTAATGGGAAATCTTCCTATGGCCCAAACAGGACACAAAATGATCAGAGCTATATCAAACACCTCATTCTATTTTCTGAGCTAGTCTGACTAGGGACGCTTTACTTTCTCCCTCCTTATTATCTTCAACACCCTTCTGGGAATGCCTGGTCCTCATGCCCAATATAAATCATACTGTAATCATGCAGTATATACTAAATCCCAGTAATAGTTCTACAAGAAAAAAAGGGGAAGCTTACAGAGCAGACTTTCCTGTCCGAGGATCTATGTATGTTGTTGTTCTTCTGTTATGATCAACAAAATATGGAATGCCATCCACAGTGAATCTCATCTCCCAGCCTTCTGGTAAAGGTTTCTCATTTAACTGACTGCAGAAACAGACACATTCAAGATATGAATCATATTATATATAGCAGTAGCAGACATGTCAGGTTGTTTACACATAATTTTGTTTTGCCAAGTTGAATAGTAACCATAAAATAGTAACTCATGTTCCTAGTTTTATTGAGTTCTAAAAAAGACACAAATACCACAAATCCAAACTGAAGAAAGAAACATCAGCAATTTAATTGTCACTCCTCACTTCTCCCACCTCAAATGTGTATGTGTTAATACAATTATCTAATCACTTATTATTAGAATAAGAGAGGAAAACTAAACCAGACAGACTAACAAGAGAAGATACAGAAACACTTTGTTGTTGCTCATGACAGAATGTCAATGTGTTACACTTTGTCTCTTTGTTAGTAAACTATCAAATTATCAAAGAATTCTAACAGCATCATGGCACTACTTGTAACTTGTGTACTCTTCATCATCCCTCTGATGAGAATGTCATCTAAACAACAAACAGGCACTGTTACCTGTAAGAGTTGTGTTCAGGTCACCTTCCAGTATGTCCAGAGTGACTTCACTATAAAGTCATTATCTAAATGTGTTTAGGAGAAAACTCACAGGATTACAGAAGTGTAAGGATGGAATGGACCTGAAGACATCAAACATTTATTATTTTCTGTCACAGTGTTCATGGTGTCTTTAAAAAATCTTAAATTGCTTTTTATTTCCTAGCAAAATCTGGGATTCTGAGTAGAAGGATTAAGACTTAAGCTGGTAGACTTTGACTACCTACAACACTGGCTGAAATCCTGTTGTGCAGTTATGCAAACAGTGTAACTTTTAAATGCAAATGGGCATAAATTAAAAAATCTCATTGGCATTACCTGTTGCATGCTGGGTTGCACAACTTGGTATGCAACAGATAATGCCTATGGAGATTTCTTAACTTATGGCAATTCTCTTCCAAATATTACCTTCTTTGTGTAATATCAAGACTTCAGGCACTGTATACATTCCCAACGTTTTTTGGCATCTTGACTAATACTGAAACAATTCTTTGTCAGCTCCAGTTGAGCTGCAAAGAGACAACAGGCTGGTACAGAGCACCTCCATGTAGGAACTAGAAAGTATACCAGAAAGAATGTGCTAAAATGCCTTCTCAACAGTCAAAAGGCAAGTTCTTGGGATTTCTGCCTCTAAACATTTTACTAGGCTAGTCAATAAAAGAAAAGCAACACTTGAACTGTGAACTTCTAAAACAGGAAATACATATTCTGTAGCACAGTGGTTTATAACCGTGAGTCTCCAGATGTTCTTGCACTACAGCTCCCAGAAATCCTGGCTAGCACAGCTAGCGGTGAAGGCTTTTGGGAGTTTTAGTCTAAGAATGCCTGGGGACCTAACGTTGGGAACTATGACGTAGCACCATACCAGCTGAAAGACACCTGCCCTCAAATCAATACAATATGAAATAGAAAAGTTCTTTTTATGATGTGCCAGATGCAGATATAAGGACTTTCATGAATTTCATGGTGAGAGGTTTTTTTAAAATAAGTTTCCTGTTTTCATCATAAATGTTCCTATTATGAGATCATTTTCTCATAACAGGAACATTTTTTTTGCTTGCCCTTTACATTCCCAAAGAATTTTTGATAAGTACACATTTTGCTAAATAAACTGTTGCCTAGATTTCCTCCCTTTGTGCTCTGAAAAATATACATACAAGGTTTTTTTTTTACAATAAGGAACAAATCTCACCCTTGACTTCTGGGATCTTCCCACTGTGTGATGCGCGTATTATGATTCACAAAATACACTCTGCCATTGCTATCTGTCCTCTTTTCTGAAAGGACAAGAAGCATTAATAACACAATACACAGACACAGTTTTATGTTAATGTCAGTGCTGCCTCCAAAGCATTATTCATGCAAGGATGCTCAGATGATGGTTATATCCTGTCCTCCTCATTACTATCAACCTCTGCACCCCTAAAAGGTGTTCATAACCGTTAGAACCCTCCTGAAAAGAGGGTTTAGAGATTGCTGGGTCTGAATTAGAAAAAAAAATGTATTTCTATTAAATGTAACCAGGTAAATAGTTGGGTCAGAGATCTTAATCAAGCAATACTCGAGTCAGTAATTGCAAAAACCTTACCCCATCCATGTGGCAGGGGACCAAGAGGATCAAATTCTTTGTTCTGTGTGAAGTCTTGATTCTGCAATCACAGGAAGGTACACTATAATACAGTATTTGACACTCTACGCTGTGTATTCATCTACATCACTGGTTCTTAACCTTGGGTTACTCAGGAGTTTTGGACTGAAACTCCCAGAAGCCTTCACCACCAACTGTGCTGGCTGGGGTTTCTGGGTGTTGCAGTTCAAAAACATCTGAGTAACAAAGGTTAAGAACCACTGATCTACATGATAAAGAATTCAATTACATTACTACAACATTGCACATAACTATGACATACTTCTTAACAAGATTCTCTTTCCTTAAGAATTAATTTAGATGACAGTCTTACCTCTTACAGAGGTTTAAAATTTTTAAAACAAGCTTCACTCAGACATCTCAGAAGCACAGACATACAGTATATGGAATTAAAATGGAAAGTCCAAGCCTGAAGCTGTTGGACATTTTATTTCCACATTCCTTCCATTAGCAATGTGAAAACCATGGGCTATGGTTGCACAGTGGAGAGAAGAAAGTATTTCCTATATGAAGTATGCACTTAGCAACCTTAGATACATTGATCAATGTGTGACAATGCATGAGAGACCAGGATTCTAGGCTTTAAGAATGTCTTACACAAGATAGTGACATTGACACTACTGATCTCTGTCTGAAAACTATTTAAAGTTCCTGTTTTAATAGTGAAAGGGACATAATTGTGATGAAATAAGATGACCTATGTGTCCTTTGTGTAAGATCCAGCATTACAAGGCAGATATCGATATAAATTCAGTGTTATTTGCTGTTAATAGTGATTGTCTGTTTATTCTATTCTGGAGCAAAACCTGAGATTTGGGCTCCAGGATTACAATCCTAAAAGGCTCAGTCAAAGCTTGTCTATATGAGGCTATTCACTGAACAATTCTTACTAATAATCTCTGCACTTGGCTACATACTGCTCATATTGTTCCAGTGTAGTTCATACTGACTGCTTTCAACTGGTAGAGTAAGAGGACATCTGATGCATAACATTCTGGGATACAGGCATTTTCAAATATAGGGGGCTGTTTCCATTTACATTCCTCCGCTAACAGAAGGATCTCAACCCAGAGGAGGCTTCTATTAGTAAAATGAGGAGGGAAATAAAGCTTTCCCATTCTCCCTCCTGCACACCACTGTGTCTTCAATACTTGCTTAAGAGGATGGGGAACATTTTGAAATAGCACAGAGCTGGAGGGAGAATAGCAAAATTGCTGAAAATCTCTTCTTCCTGCTTCACCAGTAAAAACCTTAATTGGATCAGGAATCTTCCTGTAAGCGGAAGATTGTCACTGGCCAAAACACAGCATTACTTTAATATTCATGTACTAGGATAAAACAAAAATACAGTATACACTTAATGAATCTGGGTTATGTTCTGAAACTAGTTATGAATTCCAATGTTTTAAGGATTACAGTAGTAGTGGTTTCAATTACTGTATACTTTTTGCCTTTCCTGATTCTAATTAAAATTCCAAATCCTACCCACCCATTAAATGAGGGCAGCTTTCTAACAACCAGAGCATATAACTTCCACCAACCCACTTCTCTGCATCATAGTTCAATGAAAAACAACATGAGTTTAAATTTTTTACCCATAATATATTTTACTGGGCAGGACAAAAAGTTACTGCAATAGCAAAAAGCAACAGATTTGGTTGGACTTTTTTAAAAAATATTTGGCTGAAGTATACATAACAAAATGGCTACACTGTAGATCAAATTTTGCAAGACAAATGTGACTTGGGAAAACTCAGTAGTCCTGTTCTAGCACATATTTGTTAAGAAAACAATCAAAGTTATGTCTTAAACTGTTTAATAAAGATAAAAGTGAATGGTATTCATATAAACAAATAATTCCTTAGTCTATTTAGATTTTACTTTATTTTCTTTTAAAGAGGTAAGCATATTAATCTGTTCCAGAATGTACTATCTAAACTACTCAATCAATAAATTTTTAAGACTAACAGATTTCTTCTACTGTAAGCTTTGATTACAGTCCACTAGAAGAAGTGGATTTAAATCCACAAAAGCTCACAGTGAAACAAACCTGTTAGTTTTATAAGTGTTGCAAGACTTTTATGTTGTTGTGTTTCATTATACTCTAATTTTTGATGTTTTCAAGGCTTAGCCAATTGTTATTGGGAATCTAAGGTCAAGAATAGAGACAGCACTGTTAAATTAATTTGTATTAGCTAATGGTTTGCCAGTATGTCTGCAAGACATTAATTTCAGCCCAGTCCTCAGTGTTCTCACCCCATATATGAACCTCTGATTGAACTGTTGCATAGCTCCTTGAAGCTGGCTCCGTTGAAGCTGCCATTGTTCATAATTTCGGACAGATTCCAAAGTTGGCCGCTGCCAGGTTGTTGTTCTGGTGAAATGGTCAACATAATAAATCCGCCCCATGTTGTCAACTCGGCGCTCCCAGCTAAAAAACACACAAATTATTCAAATGCCTGTAAGGACCTCAAAGTAGTTTACAGTCAGGGTCAAGAAGATGAAAATATGAGAGTTTCTGCAACACAAATGTCAAAGTGGGTCAAGCATAATCAATCCTATTTTGCTAGAAAAGTCATCATCCTATTTCTCAGTTTCCATAAGTTTTATCACCTGGTAAAACCAGGGATGATCACCATTGGCTATAACCCTCCAGTGCAATTCTGACCAGATCTAAGTTAGCATATCCTATGTGAAGGATCATAGAAACAACACACTAACAATATATGGAGCACCACAAGCTGCCCACTCTGGATTAAAATGTCTGCATCCTAATTATTCCTCCAGAACCTACAGTACCTTATTTGAAGTACCAAATGTTAAGATACACCTATCCCCATTTTGAGGTGCACTACTATGTACAGGTGTTTACATGAAGCCCTATCCACATGTCCTTGATTGGTTTTGCTTCTGAGCGAGGAAGTGTAAAGCAACAGAGGTAGAAAAATGCTTGCTACATAAAATATAGCATATGTCATACTAATCCCATTGTCCCTGTTTTGAAATAGTACAAATGCCTGCAGTTTGTGGTGTAGCTGGCCACTTCATGACCTACTGTGGTTGAAAATTCTACAGCTAGTCACAGTTCAATGTACATCTATCAAGGCCCAAATTAGACGTCACGTTTTGACGACCAAACCACAGTTCAACACTCAGGAAAATTTGAATGGCAAATCTGAACTGACACTTTCAAACTTTTCTAATAGATAAAAATAGTGACTGACTCACCCCGGTGGAAGCGGTTCTGGCCTATCCCATGTAGTTCTTTTCTCAACATGATCTACATAATACACTCTGCCATGCTGATCAACTCTTTGTTCCCAGCTAAAAAGATATAAACCACATGGAAAACTGCTCAAATCTATTCATGTTATGGCTTTGTTCTGGTACTTCTATTTCTAAGAGGTCACTTCAGTTTTCAGCAATTTGTATACAAGACTGTCACAATGCAGCATCTAATTAATAAAAGGCTATTTTCAAGCACATTTATTTCATGTAATAAGGCCTCCATCTAAATCTGAGAAAGCTGTTTCGGCTTTAGATAAGTTTCTGGTGTCAGTAATGGACTGGATGACAGTAAATAAACGAAAACTTAATCCAGACAAGACAAAGATGTTCCTGGTCAGTTGAAAGACAGATCAAGGAATAGAGATGCAATCTGTGCTGGACGGAGTTACACTCCCTCTGTACACAGGTACAGCTTGGGGGTGCTCCTGGATTCATCTCAGAGTCTGGATGCCCAGGTTTTGGAGGTGGCTAGGAGTGCATTTGCACAATTAAAACTAGTGCACCAGCTGCATCCCCACTCTCATACTATTGCTTATCACTATGTTTTCTCTTTCACAGGGATTTACTTATTCATGAAACTTTCTCCATGCACACTTAGCTCATCTCTTATCTGATCTCTCATGCTATTCCTCCTTATTAATGTCTTTTTTGTATTCTTTTATTATTCCCTATTTCACTAGCTAACTATGTGATCAAGTTTTACTTTAGCTCTTATAGAGCTTTTAAAAATTCTCACTTAGCAACTATAAAGTTATTTTATTTCTGATTGGCACTTAACGTGTTTCAGGTACTTTCAGAAATGAAAGGTGAGGTGCAGAAAACAGTGTTTTAGGTGAAAAGTCATGCAAGAAACTTACCCAGGTGGAAGAGGGCCTTGACTGACTGTAGAATGTGGTTGTGAAGCTGGAGTTACTGGCTGAACCTGTCTAGATATTGGTGGTGTAGTCAAAGGTGCTGCTGCAGGAACAATGGTTCCTCCTACTGCTCCATCAGAGCTTGGTTCTGATGCTACATTTCTTGCAGTTGGCACCAGTTCTGCACTAGCCCCTTCTGATTCTGTGGAAGAAGAGCCATTGATACATGCTGCAGAGAACACAGAGAAAGAATACAGAAATGCTTGTTTTTACTCTAATTCTAAAACTGCAAAATATGAATCTTAAATAATCTAGCTGACACATTAAACTACCAGACTTTTTTTTAAAAAAAGTAAACAATAACAAGAGCTGCTTAGGTACCATTTACATAAAAATGATCTGAATACATTTCAGGCACTAAATGGCAAATAAAGAAGAGTTGCACTCAGAATTTTAGCTATTTAATTTAAAGTTTAAAGAGTAGCTCACTGTTCTCTGCTGTGACTCTGTATTCTGATTCTGAGAAAATTATAAAGGGATTTCTTTGGCAGCAATTCCCTTCTTTTGACCACAGAAAGCCCGGAAGTCTCTGAATAGAACATTCCACAAACCGTAGCCTCAGTGGGGGTCATGGAAAACTACTTCAATATTTGCTATGAAGGAAAGCTTCCATAATTTAATTGGGTACTAACGTGCATTCTCTATAAAACATTACAGCATACTTCTAGGTAGCAATTTTAGAATGTATTCTTGAAGATCAGAAAGAGAGAGATCTTATGTCACTAACACAAAAATTATGACTTATGTCAAAGCTGTTAATATTCTAGAATATTCTAGAAAATAGATCTAGATTTTTAAAAATATATGTACAGTGGTGCCTCGCAAAAGACGAATGGTTTTTGTGATTGTGTTCGTGACTTGCAAGACGATGACTTCTATGGCCGTGCTTTGCAAGACAATTTTTTCCCCCGCAAGGCCGATGCCTCGCAAGATGAAAATAATTCATTCATCTTGTGAGATCTCCCATAGGAATGCATTGCAATGTATTCCTATGGGAAACCACTTTTCGCAAGATGAAAATTTCGCAAGACGGTGCTACTCGTGGAACAAATTACTTTCGTCTTGCGAGGCACCACTGTACTAATGTAGTGGGCAGGTTACATAAACTTAAGCAGAATTAACTTTGAATTCAAACGTTCACATTGGTGTACTTACCAGATGGAGCAGAAGGCCTCTGTGGAGTGGGTGGAGGTGGTCGAGAGGGTCTGGGAGGTCTAAGTGGCTTAAAACCTCCATTTGCAATTAACGGAGAATCACTGCCATTAGCTGTCTTGTTTTCATTGGACCCAGTGGACTCACTGCTTTCGAGACCATTTGCATTATTTCTTTGCAGGAAATCACAGTAAGAACTATTGTGAAGGATTGGAAGATGGGACTCAAAGTTAAAACACTTTTTATAAATATCCTTCCCACTTGAAGCATAGTCACATATTACGTTACAAATACATGTACCCAAATTCTAAAAGATATTTTGAACCTCTGCTGTTTTAGAATTACTTATAAATTTACTTAAATGCACATATTCTAAGGATATGAGAACCAAGGATCTTAGTGGCTCATAATTGTCATTTCAAATATAAGGAAGGTATGGCAATCCCGCAATTTGGCTCCCAAATTCCATCTCTTCCCTTGATTCCTATTATCTCTACTCTGAACCATCTGGCATAGAGAGGGAGCAACAACAGCTGTAGAGAGACTTAGGGAATTAGTTTATCAAAGTTTTGACATCCATAGCCTTTTGAATATATATGTTTCCCAGATATACTGTACTTGAAAGTGATGTATCATGTCACATCTTGCAGGCACAACTGACATCAGAAACTAGAGAAACACAAGTAATAAGGTTTGGTGGCTAATGGCAAAAGGTGGAGGAAAAAGGAGGATTGTAAGAACAAGAGATGGTTTTAGAAAATCACTGGAGATGAGTAAGAGTAAGAACCAGATTCCATCATGTAATACACTCTATATGGGGCTGCCTTTGAAAAATGTTTGGAAACTTCAGCAGGTCCAAAATGCAGGCGTATTGCTAACTGAGGCTGGTCACAAAGATCACATAACCTTCTGTTACAAATGGTCCACTGGCTACTGATCCATTTCTGGGCTGAATTCAAAGTGCTGATTCTAACCTATAAAGCCCTAAATGACTTTAGGCCCAAGCTATCTCATCTCCTTTTGTGACCTGCTTGACTGTTAAGATCATCAGAAGCCTTTTTCTTGATCCTGTCACCTTCACAGGTGCATCTGGTGGAGGGGAGAAGGCCCTATTTCTACTGTCCTTCCACAAACAGGATTTCTCTTCAGGTGAGCTTTATCTGAGTGATTGGCCTCAGAGAGGTTCTTAAATGGATGGTTGCACCTTGCTGCTTTGAATGTGTTTTTGGTGTTGCTTTTATCTTCCATTTTTTAGTGTGGTAACTGTTTGATTCCCTTTAGTTATTGTATACTCACTGTTTGAGCTTTTAATATTGGCTTTTAAATCATACAGGCTGCCTTGGGTCCTTTTTAAGGAGAAAGGCAGGGTAAAAATATTTTAAATAAAATAAATCATATTCTGAATTATATTGTCAATTATAAATCTACCCATAGAATCAAAATTTTGCTGTAATCGAAACTACTGCTTCTCTGAGAACGTCTTCCATTTACAGAGGGAACAATTTTTATCTAGTCTTTCTTTTGCAGCTTCCCCCCATCTCCTATGCTGTTCCAGAGAGTTTCCTAACCATCCAGGGCTTTTCAGGCAGTATGGGGGATTGCAGGAAAGGAGAAATCAACAAAATTATTGCCACATCCTCTTCTTCCAATGTGAATGGAACTTCACTGAGCAATATCTAAACGTATTTGTTGTCTTTGATGGAACTTTCTCACAAAATATGTGCATAAGGAAAAGATACATATTTTTTAAACTTTTGGGGTGATGGTGAAAAACATGTGCAAGATCCTGGAGAGGAAAGAAACCAGTGAGAGGATCTAAAGAAGGCAGAGTAGTCATTAAATGATCATACATAGCCAGACTGACAAAAATGTGAATAATTTTGGCAGCAAGATCAGCAGCCATGAGTACACCAAGATGGGACAAAAGAAGACTGTTGTATTAGAAGTTTAAACATAATGTCTCTAAACACATATTCAGACACATGGGAGTATTGTATTTGACTGTTTAAAATTATCTGCAGTATGTGCTTTCACTAATTCAATGTTTTTTGTTTTTTTTACTTTTAAGGAATTTATACATAAATAATTTTTTAAAACTGGGCCTATATTGTCAAGGTATTAAGATGTTCAGCACTCTTCAAATTTCTAAAACTCTGAAGGTAATTTTATGCCTAAAATCACTTCTAGGCAATTCTAATATACAAAATGAACACACTGCTATGTCCAAAATATTAATTATCACCTGCAAACTTGCAGGTGTGGTAAAATCATCTTACCTTGCTTCATTTTTTCTTCTGGAGCCATCATTCTGTGTGGGGCCTTTAATATTAAGCATAAGGAAATAAAATTTAACATTTGTTTAAGCTTCCAAAGAAATGTAAGCAATGAAGATGTTCAGACCTATTTGTTAAAATGCATACATGATTTTTAATTACTTCAAAAGACAGTAAGAATCCAAACTTTCCATCTTAGATCCCATAGCCAACATACACACAATTAGGGGACAGATGGAGTTTTTATCATTTATCTTTCTAAACTTAACTAGCAATGCATCTAATTATCCAAAAGAGAGCCCCCACTCATATCTACTTACACAGACTCTAAATTCATCATTTAAAGCTCTGGTCCACATGCTACCACCAAATAAGGTGAAGCTGTGAGAACAAATATTTTATTAATCATATATTCATCAATGACCAACCAATATATGGTGCTTGATATTAAGATACACTTACTACATATGAATTTGCTTGGTTATGATCTTTAAGCCTGAAAGTGTGGTTTCATCAGTTACACTTGGGTAAGGATGACAGTTGACTGTTAGACATACATAAGAGGACCTTGTCATTTGTGTCTGGGAACAATGTCAGAGAAAGGAAACCACAACCTTGTAACCACGTAAAGAGTTCAATTACTGTATATATGCAGGAGAGATATACCAGTAGTCTGTTTTTGAATGTGCATTTGCACTTAAGAGACTTTTCAAATCTCTCATTGTTATATGCCTTCTTGGTTGCAAATCAAATTAAGAGGAACTTGTTATTGATACTTTATAATTTTATAACAGGGTGATTGGGAAAGTGTTCTCAGAAAGGTTCATCTGATGTTACTATCCTTGAAATCACAAGTAAAGACTATTTTGCCTTTCTAGGATTTTATGACTGTTTTCTGGTGTTTTGGAGTTCTGATGCTGCCTTCTGTCTTACTTATGATTTCTAATACTGGTGCTATGGGGGAAGTTAAGATAGAAGATGCATATCTGAAAAGTGGTATACAAAACTATCCAAAGCTATAAACATAAACTGATAGTCCGGTTTCTCTTCAGATCGCATAAATCTTTTGACTGACTGATAGTGCTGATGTAAAGAGTATGTAAAAGTGATGGCTTTATGATTCTAAGGAAGAGAGTACAAGAACGTTTTAAGAAAGCTGATAAATACTATAAATAACTTTGGAAATTGTTATGGAAGTTTAAAGGGGAATTAAAACTGAAAAGAGAGAAATACCTCTGATTTGAAAAAAAGATCTCTACTTCTTTATCCAGTGGAGATATGTCTTGTCATACATAACCAATTATTCTTAAGGTTAAAGCAAGATATGAAACTAGCATTATGTCTAAATGGTTAATGTTTGTTTTCTTCATAGCACATTGATTTGACTCCTCAATGTTTTTGTATTAAAAAGATAATAATGTATACAAAATATATATAATCAGTTAGTTACAGAATGAAAACAGTACATGTTACTTACTTTTTAAGGCGGTAGCATCACCATTAGTCAGAAGCTCAGGATCGACTTGCATGCCATCTAAACAGACAGATAACTCTCCAATCCCATCAGCTGGCTCTTTGTCACCATTAAGCACCATATTAACAACCACTTCTTCAACTATTAAAAACAAGATCAGGGAAATAACAATGGCTGATTTCTTAGTGTAATGAAGGATTAAATGTAGTTGCCAATAACAAAAAAAAAAATCATCTAAAAGATGTTAACATATGGTTCAATTTCACAGCTATACAGTATTTTAATTTAATTCAGTAAGCTTTGTGCATGCTGATCCATAAAAATGCATGGAACCCCCTTACCTAAAACAGGAAAGTAGAGATTTAGCTCTCACTTTTATATTAAACAGCATGTTTATAGTCAGCAGATGCACTGAGAAGTAGTACAAAGCCCACATTTACAGTAAAGGGTCAAAACTAAGAATATACAGTGGTGCCTTGCTTAGCAATCGCTCCGTTGAGTGACGAAATCGCTTAGCGACAGAGTTTTTGCGATCGCCAAAGCGATCGCTTTGCAATGGTCCCTATGGGGTTTTTTCACTTTGCAATGATCACGGGGAAGCGATGATCGCGAAGCGACCCTTTTTTAACAACTGATCGGCGGTTTCAAAATGGCTGCCGGGAAAACAAAATGGCCACCCGCTGTTTTTCCTCGCTTTAGAGGCACTGAAAATGGCTGCCCCTATGGAGGATCTTCGCTTAAAGGTGAGTTTTTAGCCCATAGGAACACATTAATTGCGTTTTAATGCGTTTCTATGGGCTTTTTAATTTCGCTTAGCGATGAAATTGCTTAGCAACATTTTTTCTGGAACGGATTAATGTCGCTAAGCGAGGCACCACTGTACCAAAGAATACACCAGTTACACCAAAACCATCATCACTAAAGTTATAGTAAACCCTTCCCAGACCTCCAGATATGTTCAATTACAATGCCCATCAGCACTGGTGGGTCAGATCGATACTGCAGCACAAAATAGCTCATGGATACCAGGCTGGCTTTGTTATTCATTTCTCAATTATTGGTGGAAGTAAATCTTACCCATGAATAACTTCACTAAGTGCAAGAATCCTTACATTTAATGCATCCAGGATAAACACACACACATCCCTTGTGAACATCAAAGAAGTCCCATTTCTCAAGTCAAAGTCAAAACACCTTCCAAATAATCAAAACAAATCTCTTGCTGAACTACTATTCAACAGCCAGGATATATACAGAGTTCACCAACACCAACACCATCCCAACAATCTAACAATCTTAAAACAGGGCTTCAGTGCAATCCACCTCAGCAGCATTGGCATCTTCTTCTGAACTTTCTGCAAAATCATTTTGTATTTCTTTTTGCTGTTTCTTCGCAAATTAAAGTGTCAATACTGATTACAAACATTACAGAAGATTACTGTGCATATCAAAGGGGTAAAAAATTTACCACAAAAAGTGTTAAAATGATATTTGAGAAACAGCTAACTGCTTTCAGTCAGATAAGTATGTCAGGGAAAAAAAACAAAGTTGCGAATGTTACTTTCCAGAAACAAAATAGCAGAATTATTCATTTCTACACAAATGCCTGGTTTTCCTTCTTGGAAGCTGGGCTGAAATGTCAAAAGCCCAACATAATAACAGAGAAATGAACCTGTAACCCTTGTTTTACTTTCAGAATTTACAAAATGCTCACATTTCAGAGAGCTCCCAGAAGCTGAGGAATATAGGAGAATGAAGACATACAACACTGGAGTTTTTTGTAATATCAAGTAAATAGGCTATTGTCCAGCTAAATATGTGCATGTGGAAAGAAATATGGGTGGAATGCAAATCTGATGAGAAGTGTTTTCCAGTAATGTCAAAGCGCATTTTATAACGCGCTTAATATTTCATTCTTATATTTGTTGCACAAATATCACTCTGCAGAAAAAGATTAAATATCTGAAAAAAATTGTTCAGCATGTGTAGGTATAATGGAATAGATAAACTCGTTTCTAAGGTCTCTGAACATGTATTAAGTGATAGCATAGACCCACAATGATCATCTTCAAACTTTTGAAGGTTAATTACTTTTTTCAGTTTGGAGGCTTTATGAAAAGTCTATTTTTTATTTAATTAATTTGCTTAAAATATTTTTACCCTACTTATCTCCTTAAAAGTACACAAGCACTTTGTTTTAAGCACTTTATAGAAGATTATCAATGTGTGAGAGATAACAATATGCCTGTCATATTTCTTAATGTAAAAACACTGATCTCTTAGAAAATAATGGTTATATGTTATGTGTCATCTAATAGGAACCAACCTCAGGCAACCTAATCAAGCATTCAAGACAACTGAGATATTTAAGGAGTGGTTTATCCGTTCTATCCCATTCCCTGTGAGTTTACATGTTTGAACAGGGACCTGAATACAGGTCTCCTGAATTCTTGTCTGCCCCTCCCTCTGCTACATCATGCAGGGTATCTTAATGCTCATACAGAAACATATACATAGCTCATGTGGAATGATACTAAATCTACATATGCTGCTAACCACCACCACCTTATAACTGCAGAGCTGGAAGAGACCATATGGATCATCGAATCCACCCCTTGTCAAGGAGACACAGTAGTGAATCAAACTCCCAAACTCTAGCTTTAGCCAGATACCTAAACTTCTGAGCTATCCAGCAGTGCAAGAAAGATTTGGGTGGTCCACAGAGGAATAGGAGAGGAAAAAAGAAGCCCCACTTTGCTTTAAGTGAAGCTGTATGCAGCCCATAGAACATCATACTATATAATTAACATGCACACTTTTTGGCTTCTAGGAATAACTATTAGTTGTCTGTTAATACACTTTTCAAAGTGCATTAATGGACAGCAAAGAGTATTAATGGACACCTTAAGAATTTATGTCTCCTGTTTCACTCTGAAAAGGAACAAATGATCTCACACTATACTGAATAATATCCACTACTCATGGCTTGATTCTCATCATGTTCATATGCCTTTCATGAAAATTATGTTGTTTTGCATATGTCTCTGATCATACCCACATGCGGAAATTAAGGGTGAGACATGATGCTGAACAGAACATGCATTTCCAAAGAGAGTTTTAAAAATGAAAATAGCAACAGATGGGTCACAATTTCAGTCAGCACAAAAGCTCCCACTGGCACTTATGAGAACTTCTTGTCTAATACAAGCAGCACCTTTGGGAGGGGAGATTTCACTGGGATTGCAACAACAAGAGGAGGACTTAACACCCATTCCCCAACCCAATAAACCTACAGAAATAAAATAAAATAAAATTCAATGAACTGCAAGTGACCCTTTTAGGACTGCTGTGTATTTTGACCCTAAATGCATACATATACTTTTCTTAAATGAGAAGTTGCACCAAGCTCAGATAATGAATATTTTAATGAAAACTTTATTGAGTAGCATTGGGAAAAAGCTGCTCATTTCCCAAACTGTTGACCACAAAATAATACTTACAGCACAAATGGAATATATCACATTAAAAAATCCACATATTTTTAAAAATAATCATTACAAGATGTTCAGGTAATATGAAAAGTGCATCCAGGGAAATGAATTAAACTGCAGAATTCTCCCTAGAATAAGTTAGTTTAAAATATGGTTGTGTATGTATATGCAACCAATGTCCAAAACTGCAAATTGAATTTTCTAGTTTTTATTTTTTTATATACTTACGTTTCATGTTATTTGCTTTAAGTGTCTCAGGTATATCTAGAGTGGCACTTCCTAGTAAGACATCAGATTTCAGTGTCTGATGACTCCATACACGAAAATTTAATTTGCTGCGAGGAGAGACAATTCTAAAGAAATAGAAGCAATATTAATACATGCTATCAAAATAACATTTTTAAATATTACTGAATTAGCCTTAATTTACAATGTTACAACTTTGTTTTTTCACATAATTTTTATGTCTAATATTCAAAGCTAATGTAGCTTAACTGTAAATTGTATTTGAACATATGCAAGTGATAATTTACAGGTCTGGATAAGAGTTGTGTTCAGTTAAAAAATAAAATTAAAACTGGAATGTACTTCCTAAACATATCTATCCTCTGATCAGTACATTATTTCTAATCACTTCAGAAATTATTTTTTTAATGTATATACTGTATATACTTGTATCCAACTTAGATCAAAACAAGCTGTCTTATTCCAAACTATGGCAGCACGTGTAAACAGAAACAATAATACACTTTTAGGAAAGATTAATTCTTCACAGTCAATATGGTTGTACTGGCCTCCTTGACAGGAACTGGACTCAATGATCCAGAGGGTCCCTTCCAGGTCTGAAGTTCTGAGATTTATTTATAGACATTCACATAAAGCAACAGTTTTGAGTACTCTTAAGAACTGATTACAGTGGTGCCTCGACTTATGAATATCCTGATTTATGACCATTTTGAGTTACAATCAGCTCCGGCTGCAAAATTTTGCTTTTATTTGCGACCAGAGCTTCAAGTTACGACAAGAAAAAAGGTGGGGGAAAAGGCGGGAGATTTAAATTACTAATCGTTGGTCGGTGAAAAGGCTGCTTCTTTGTAGCTCTTTCACCCCAACGGTTAGAGAGTGTCGGAGGCGGCTTCGGACTGCCTGGTGCTGCTTTCTGCTTCTGAGTGAGTACATACAGGGTTTTGCAGGGTGGGTTTGGGCTGGGGGGATATGTTTCTATGCTGTGATTTTTTGTGTGTGTGTTTTGGCAATTTTTTCCCCAGCCCCAGCACGTTCCAATGGGCCTTGCTCTGTTTGTTTTGTGTGAATGTGTGTGTGTTTTTTTCAGCCCCAGCACATTCCGATGGGGCTTGCTCTGTTTGTGTTTTGTATGTGTGTGTTTTTCAGCCCCAGCATGTTCTGATGGGGCTTGCTCTGTTTGTTTGTTTTTTTGGTGATTTTTCCCCCAGCCCCAGCGTGTTCCAACGGGCTTACATTTTTTGGGGTTTTTTGATGATTTCTCCCCCCCGCCCCCCAATGCATTCTGATGGGGCTTGCATTTTTTGTTTGTTTTTTCCCCTGGCCCCGACGTGTTCCAATGGTGGATTTTTGGGGGGGGGGTAATTTTTTTTAACTGTCTGGAATGGATTAATTGCATTCCAATGGGAAATGGTGTGACCATTCAAGTTACTACCATCTTCTGGAACGGATTAAGTTCATAAGTTGAGGCACCACTGTATATTATAAAGATGCAATTTTTAATTCACAGTAAATTCCAGATTTCACAGGCGTGGTTGTATGCTCAGAAGCAGATTGAGGCAATCTTCTAAGATCAGTATACATTTCCTTTTCCCATGTTTCATGATCAAAGTATCTCCCCCACCAGGTAAGTACACTTTTCCCATGCTTTCGTGTAATTAAAAAAAAACACCCTCTTTTGTTAATTGTGTCACGATTTATGTACACATTTTTCTTCTCTATTCATACCATGTAAAATGTGACTCAGATATGAAGGAGTGTAAAGTTTATTAGTTTTACACACTGCAGCTTCCTGGGCCTCCCTTTCATACAATATCTCTCCTCTAAACCTCACTCATGGGGATCAAAGGACCCTCTGGTATTGCATCCAACATAATTTAAGGTGCTGCAGTCAGAAACAAACATTTATTTATTTATTTATTTATTTAATTTATATCCCGCCTATCTAGTCCGATGGACTACTCTAGGCGGCCAACAACAAAGATAAAATACAATAAAATAAAACAACAGATTACAGCACTCTACCCAAAGGTCTCTGGGCAGCTCACAATTGAAAAACAATTAAAATACAATAAGATAAAACGATTAAAACACAATTAAAATACAATCTAAAAATTGCCATCAGGACCCACAGTTGATGTTATTTCAATTAAAAGTCTTCTGGAACAGGAAGGTTTTGACCTGGAGCCGAAATGTCATCAGTGTCAGCGCCAGACGAATCTCAGTCAGGAGAGCATTCCATATTCCATATATCTCACATACTATCTTAAACAACTTGGGTAGAATCATTTAAATTGGGAAAATGTTCTTAAATAGACCTAAACAGTTTCAGAGACTGAGTTCCCTAGAGAAAGATATTGGGAATATTGAGAGCATAAATTTATACCTGCATGAATACACATACTCCACTACAAGTATGACATTTACCCCAGAAAATCTCAGTGCCAATATTCATCTTATAGCCCTAGCTTACTGCACTTTAACTATTACTTGGAATAATAAGACAAAGCAAAGAACATTTCCAACCTACACTGTAAGAGGTTGCTTCCATTTTGGACTATTTGTATTGTTGCACTTTTCTGTTTTCTTGGACTGTCCATCAACTGTGACTTCTACATAAGGGCTGGGTCCAAACCATTTGTTCTTGTTTTCTTTCAATTTTGCAGAAATAACTGTTGAATGTAAGAGAATGCATAAAGGCTTTGCTTGCTTTAATGATGTTAGAAATCATCAATATTACCTAGCATGGCACAGTATGCAATCACAGCTGAACTATACTGATGGAAAGACACAGAAATACAAAATCATTTTATTCAGGTATGACATCTACAGTGAACCGAATATTTTCCCTTTCAATCAATTCATTTCACAGAAAAAGATGAAATGATTATCAAATTTAACCATTCAAGTTTTTAAAATATAAAATTAGATGAAGGAGCATCTTGCTCTAGAATTATTTATTTATTTAGCTTATATCGTGAGTAAATCTTTTAAGTAACTATTTTTAAAGCACTATTCAGTGGAGCTTGAGAGAACAGAAACTGATCTCCACCTTCTGAGTTGTCCAATACTTGCCTGCAGTATCTGAAAGGTACAAGCAAAACAAACAAGCAAAAAAACCCCAACCAAACAAAAACAGCATGTCTACCAGTCCCAGCCCACAGTCACCACCAGATAACATGAATCCATAATTGATATTTTGAGGTAATTCTGCAGGACACTGACTTCTCACTAAATAACTATATTTTACTTTAAACTAAAAGTTGCACCATCTTTTTAGCTCTTTTGACACATGTCTTTCTGTTATACTATAAAGTCCATAATTTGTACTACAGTGGACCCTTGACTTACAGACGGCTTGACTTACAGACTTTTTGAGTTAGCCTTCTCTGGCCGCAAAATTTAGGTTTGACTTACAGCCTGAGAATTGACTTACAGACCAGAAAAAAACCAAAATGGAACAAAAACGGCCTGTTACGGGATTAATCGGTTTTCAATGCACTGTAGGTCAATGGAGACTTGACCTACAGACTTTTTGACTTGAGAACCGCCTTCCAATGCGGATTAAGTTCTCAAGTCAAGACCCCACTGTATTTCAAAGCAGTATTCATTATAATACCACACCACCTTTGAAAAAGTAGCAGTATTAGCAGCAACAGAATTTGAATCAACACTGACGTCACTGCTTCAATTTGATGGTAATATCACCACACCAGTTTAAAATAGCACTGAAAGAATTGTCAGGTCTATCACTTCAGTTATAAAAATGCAAGAGAAAATCAGTAGTTGTCCTTTATGCCTAATGTAGAACAGTGATCAGTTTGTGATTTAAAGCAGCAGTTCCAATGATACACATACTGCAATTTTGGGCATAAAACTGATCTTGGCCAGGCTGAAGGTCTTCATAAACATTACTGTATTCAGAATGTTCTCACTTTCAATCTCTGTAACTTCCTTCAAATACTATGTACTGTCTCATACTGATACTAGTAGCCACAGATTACCTTTATGGTATATTGCCTTGCTGTTAGTAACTTTGGACATTTCCAGTTTTTAGTAAGCCCCCACTTTCCCAGCCCCAAACAACTGCCACTCATGGGCTCTCTCCTGCCAGGGATTATCATTATCATCACCATTCTGAGTGTAACTTCTGCCCCTCCCCTTGTTACCAGCATAAATAAATACAATAATAGAATTACGGTAAATATATAGATAACCTGCTCACAAAAGTGGATGTTTTGCTTCTATCATAATGCAAATGAGGTTCTTTTAGAGGAGTGACTGGTGGAATATAAAATATTAAAGATTGCTAATAAATTATTTAAGACATAGTGAAAAGAAGTCTGATTCTATAAAATGAACATTCAGCAACATAAAATATTTCTCTTCAGAAATGCTACCACTGGACCTAAGCAGACAGACAGAAACCGTACTGTCTGCCTAGGTACAAAATTAAAACACACTTAAGATGCAAATAAAACATTCAACAGCTAAAATGTGGCAGGGAACAGCCAAGTAACATAATTAGGGCTCGGTCGCCTCTGCATGATGGAGTAGATATATCTGGCTGTTACCAGGGTAAGTTCCTTAATAGCGCTACCTAGGAAGTGTCAAATTTTTCTCAGGTCATCCCATCCAGAAAGGAAGGAAAGGAAAGTGCTCAGATAAGACAGGCAGATATCCTTATACAAGATACAGTAAAACAACATATGCTTCAAGGATTCAACCACTCCCTGGCCACAAAGGCAGACTCTCAGTTCTGTGGGTAAACCCGTATACAGTATCTGCCCCGTGCTAAGTTTGAAGGTACAATGTTTCACCTAGCAAGGGTGAATGCACAAAGGTCTTGTGGATGCTCTAAAACAGTGGTCCCCAACCTTTTTAACACTGCAGACTGGTTGGGGAAGGCAGGGCACCCCCTGCACTTGCATGCATGTGCGAAGGAGTGGGGGGTGCTCGGGGGGGCACTTGCATGCATGCGTGAAGTGGTCGTGGGCATTTGTCAGGGATGTGCGCACTCACGTGCATGTGTAAAAGGGCTGTGTGGGGGGATGCGTGCAGGCGTGGGTGGGAGATCTGTCTCTGAGGCCACAGATCGGCACAGGGCCATAGACCGGGGGTTGGGGACCCCTGCTGTAAGAGATAGAGGTAATTCGTTCTTCTGCCATGGGAGAGGGGCAACTGAAAATATAGCGGGGAGCAGACCCTTTGTGCAGCGCTAAGCAGGGTTTGCCCCTCAATATCCAGAAGTCTACAGTATTTTTGATTGTATGAAATACCTGGGGTAGGGGTATTGAATTGAGAAGATCTGGTGACTACCCCAGGGTCTTGATTTTCTTGAGAAATAGGGTCATACCTTTTGGAAATACACTGTCAGAAAGCAGTGCTTGGAATAGCATGTCCTAGGCTCAGAAGAAACATATACTCTGCCCATGGCTATACACCTCTCTGGTTCCAAATTATTCAAATTCCAATGTTCTATTTTAATGCAAAGTTTACTTAACTCCACAAACTAGCCTTACATCTACTCTATGATTCTGCACAAGCATCTCACAATTTACAAAACTATCTATGGCCTTGCCCACACTCCGCTCTTTCTGCTCATCCAGCTCAGCCATCCATGCATGTGTTTTACGTATGTAAGGGTTTGTATCTGCATACATGGTGACTGGAGCTGGCAACAATTGTACAGCAGTTGATAGTTACAAAGGATGAAATAATGTTTATGAAGGGTATTGTGAGTGGAAGTCTGTGTGGTTCCTGATCGCAGATTTTCTGTTTTAAAATCTTACACCAGCAACATTGGTGATTTTTTCAGAAACCATTTCCAACTTCAGTCCCAATATTCCTGAGTAATCTCATCCATTGCCAGTAAGCAATGAAAGCTGTGGGAAAGGAGGCAGAGCTCTTTAATTATAAAAAATTGCTGCGAGCAGGATTACTTTATAGGCAGCATAATTTTCAGGAATTAATTAAAGATTCATTTCCATCCTGCAGCTCCCATGGCTTCCTGATGATGAAAGGGATTACACAGAATACTTACGACAGGAGTCAGAAATGTATCTTTGCTGCTGTTCATGTCATCAGTCTTACATACTTAAAGTATGCAAACAGGATCTGAGTTTTACGTCACAGCAAATATCTGTCTGTCTAAAAACCAGGAAGTGTGTAAAGATATAAAGGAAAAGGGAAAAGCCTACAATTATACACTGGGGAAAATTGCAGTTTAAATACCATTCTTTTATTTTACTTCCTAACTTTTATTCTTTGATGGCTTTTTAAAAAAGATAAAACTATTTTTGATTCAAATCTTGCATATTATTTTTACAGCTATCATTCATAAGGCATTATATCCATGCTATGTATATATTGTCACCAAAGAAAACAAGGCTGTGTTTCATTAGAAACATTTTTACAGCTGCAATATGAAGCAGAACACTTACTGTGTGCCTGGGCTGGTGACAGGGACAGGCCATGGGAAGGAAACCCCATTCACATGTTTAAACAGCAACCCCAAACTCAGTGCAAGTGCTTGAGAGTTGATGTCATTTGTGCAGTGGCACAGGTTGGTAGAGAAAGTCTGCTAGTGATTAAGTCCTTTATCCGAAAACTACCTCTTTCAATGCTTCAGCACAATCACTTCTCTCACTTCCATTACATTCCTCTTGAAATTGAATCTTTCCTTGGAAGCCTTCAGAATAGCCCCAATTCCCTACTAAAGTATGTGCAACTGAAATATTCACATATTCTTCCCTTTTCCTTTCCTACAATGAAGGCCACTGTCTTGAATCTACAAGTCCTGAGTTGGGCTATTAATGATAGGATATTTTGGAGTTCATTAATTCATGGAGTAGCCGTTAAGTCAGAAGAGATGTGACAGCATACAACAGCTTTCTCTATTACCATTTCCTTTCTTCTCCTTATGCTTTTGCTTCCTTCTCTCTATTTCCAGACTGCAAGTTTGCTATATGGTTCCATCAACCCTATTATTTTAAAAGTGCCATGAATATATACAGCATCATATGAATCAATAGTAATAATACTGTACCCATGCTCTAACTATTCCAATATTACTGTCTTTCCAGTAATCATTGGTATTTAGAAAATGCCTAAGCAAATCTGTTAATCAATAGCAGGTAACACTCTTGAATATGTCCTCTGGTTGTGCCCAGTCACAGCCTCTATATATAGTGGCCAAACAATTGAAATGTTGGCAATGGAAATGCTGTCCTCTGTTATCAAAGAATTAGGGACCTTACAATTTGTCCATCATCAAATGTGTTGATGTAGACGGCAACTGCATATGGAAGTTTACCTGGATATTTGGTTATCTTTCATAAAAGTCAACATTTACATATTTTTCAGACTTTGGGGCCTTTCCATCTTTTGTATCTGTTATTACTATTGTTCTATTCCACAAACCCCGTTTTTAGTTGGGTTTTTAAAAAATCCTTATGCATATACCTCTTCCATTGTGTTTTTTAAAACAAGTTTTAAGAATATGGGTAAAATGAATTATTAAAAAGTACTGCCTTTGTGTGAAAGAAGCAACAAGGCAGCAACTGCATGATCTGTTATCTCTACTGGGGCCCAAAGGACTTCTCAATGGCTTTCAATACCATTAACCTTGGCATCCTTCTGGGCTGTCTCTCTGGGATGGGACTTTGAAGCATTGTTTTACAGTTGCTCTGGTCCTTCCTAGGAAAGGGTCACATCCATTGGCATTTGTAATTTTCTCAATGTTCAGTAAGAGAAAGGGATGTACAGTTTGCATACAGGCCTGTTCTCAGCACTTACAAGTGATCTGAAGCTGTGATTTCATAGCTAGTCCACTGACAGAGTCTGATCTTGATCCATTACCAGCCATATCCCAAGAAGGTACATGAACCTGAATGAAGAAACAAGAATTTCACTCTTATAATGAAAATGTCAAAGAAATTAGAGTTTCACTCTTATAATGAAAGGATCACAATTCAAATTTTTATGTCTTGTGAAACAATGCACCACCACATTATGAAAACTCCATATACAAATTAGAAGAGCAGAACTGAACTAGTGAGAGAACCTATGGTCAATTAAAAGACATTACAGTATACACATTTTGTCATCATAAAAAAGTTCCATGATTTATAAGGAACCATGAACTAAGCAATAGATTCCTAACAAGGTACATGATTCTTAACACAGATTCATAACAGAGGTCCAAGAAATCAACAGTACATGAAGAAAGCTTTGTTCCCATATTGAATATTAGAATGCCCATTTACTTTTCATCTAAAGGAAAGGATCACTACTGAATTCCAAGGGGTGGAGAATGAAAAAAATGTCCACAGGTACACAAAGTGGGTCAGAATTGTTAAGAATTCTGATATACTGATAATAAGCAAGTGTATGTGTGTACTGCTATACTGCTTCAAGTTGACCCTGCTTCCTCCAAAAAGCAAGGGTGTCTAAAGTAACTAGGGACTTCCCAACCACAAACAGCTTAACACTAAATCTGAATCCTGCTCCCAACCTGATGTTTCTCTAAAAAACCAGAATCGTGAAACCTACTACAAAACTTAGATCTATCAGGTCTGAATACTTCAGGTGGCTAGTAGCTTTCTGTTTACTGTCAATGGAGATTTAGTGAGTTAACTCCTCCATACATTCTATTTATTGAAACGAGCCTAATCTGAATGTGACTTAGTTCAGCACAGTAAGTCACAATCAGATTAGGCACATTGCATGTAGTTCCTACTAGCGAAAAATGAACAAAATTGATTTGACAAATTCGTCTATAGTAGCTGTAACTACACTGATGCAATTATATTTGTATTTTGGTCACTCCTATATAGCTTTGCCATTGAAACAGAGTCACATCATTCCTCAAAACAAACTGTAATTCTAGTTAGGTGTCTGTTTCTCATCCGGCTCCCCAAACACACAAACAGTTTTCAGGACTCAGTACTTATGTTTGCTGTGTAACCAAATAGGGATACAAAGGAGAATCAACAAGTTTACTCATAAACAGATACTGTGTTTCCCCAAAAATAATACAGGGTCTTATATTAATTTTTGTTCCAAAATGCATTAGGGCTTTACTTTCAGGGAATGTTTTATTTTTTTCATATACAACAATCTACAGTTATTCAAATACAGTCATGTAATCTTATTATGCTTGCTGCACAATGGTGGAGAGTGGGGTTTCACTTAACTGGGGCTTATTTTTGGGTAAGGTTTATATTATGAGCAGCCTGAAAAATCATACTAGGGGCTTATTTTCAGGTTAGGTCTTATTTTTGGGGAAACATGGTAAATATGCACAGAGTAACAGCCTTAGGAAAACAAAAGGTTATGTTACAGGAAACATTTAATAAATGAGAACTACATATGTAATGATAAGACACCAACAGTAGAAGACTAATAGACAGCAAGAGATCAACAGCAAAATTCGGTATGTGCCTACTCATACCATATTTCCCGTTTATGAGACGACCCAATGTATAAGACGACCCCCCCTTTTCTAACCCCAAGTTAGAAAAAGCAGCGATCAAAGGACTCCCTTTTTGCTAAGCCTCGTGCCTTCTCAAAAGGCAGCGGTAAAGAACTGCCTTCTGTGTATAAAATGACCCTCAATTTTTTCTCAAATTATTTAAGGAAAAGGTGTTGTTTTATACACAGTAAGTGTTTCTGATAAGAACAGGACTCATCTCCAGGACTACACCCTAGATGAACTATGGACCTGTTTAGACTGGCCATTTTGGGTGTGGGATGGATTGCACTACAGAGGGGTTGTTGAGGTCTGGAAGAGGTGCAATGTGCCATTTGGCTTACTCCTCCCATCCCCACTGCAAACTACCCCCTGTAGCCCAATCAGCAACAATTATGTGTTTTCCCTGATCCTCTGAAGGAGGACAGGGAAAGTGGCTAATCTCCTGTGGTACAATCCATCAAAATAAAACATGATCTTCCCTTTTAACGGCACAACCCACCTAACACATCACAGGGCTGTCTCCTCAGCTAACTTCGCCTTCACTGTTATTTTGGTGAAGAATCCATGCATGAAAGCTAAACAAAGAGTGGTTTTGCATCTCAATGCATCGTACCAAAATGACTGTATGCCGTAGCCCTGCACCAGATAAGTGCATTGTACCTCTTTAAAGGAGGATAGATAGTTCTAAGTAGAAACCCAAGTGGACAAGATCTTTCATGTCAATAAGTGCCATATGGGTTCCATATACAATAACTACTGTATATGTCATCATGGACAGGCTCTAAGCAATCAAACCCAGAAAAACTACAGCTTTCTGCAATGATCTGAAGCAAGGATTTTCTTAACAATAATAAAAAATAGCAATGTGCCGTCAAATTAATTCTGACTTATTATGACCCTTTTCCAGGGTTTTTCAGCTAGAGAATACTCAGAAGTTGTGTACTATTTCTTCTAGACACACCCTGGGACAAGGCCACAGAGACTGGCTCTTCTCACTGGAGGCACAGTGGGGAATCCAACTCCCAACCAGATACCTAGACCACTGAACTATCCAGTCAGATTTTCTCAAAAAACTACCGTGGAAACACTGTTCCAAGGTACTGGGGCCCATAATCTACATGTGTAATAACAAATATGCTGTGTCACCATAGCTGGCTTGTTTTGGTCAAAAACTGTAGAACTTCTTGAAAAAGTGGATGCCAAGTGTAACTACATTTTCCCCCAAAGGTCACAAGTTAAACAATGTAATCTCATTTTAAAAGTTCCCTCTGCAGCCCAAATACAGGAAAACAAGCTTTTACTATTCTCAGAAATACAGAGGAATACTTTGTTTATGCAATTCAAACACAATAGGATGCAACAAATTGCTTAACTGAATATTATTTAGGTACCATTTACAATTTGTAAACCGTTGTATACCAGCCTAATTACGACTCAGTTCCACTAACTAGTGCTTTTAGATGATATACAGATAAAGACTATGACGCTGAGCCTTCCAAAGGACTTCATGTAGGTACATGTGTTTCCACTGTACTAGAGTGTACAGAGTTGTACAATAGAACTAAAAATAATTTTGATTCTGGCACATTGAACAACCCAAAGTTACTGTTCTTTGGCAGACTTAATACACATACACCATTATCCTGTTGCATAGCTCCATCTGCACAATGGGAATGACACCATCAGTGGAAGACTGCTGCTAAGTATGAAGTTCCTTTGAATATATTGATCACTGCAGTGGACTATATACACTGGGGATTGGCCAAAGAGAATTTGTCCCTGTTGGATAAGCTGAACCTCTCAATGGCTCTTGATACTATGGTATCCCTTCGAGTCATCTATATGGGATGGGACTTGGAGGCACTGTTTTGCAGTGGCTCTGGTTCTTCCTGGTGGGGCAAGCTCAGAGGGTGGTGCTGGGTGACTCCTGTTCCATTGTGTCCCCCATGGTATTTAAGAGAAACATGAAAACTGTTAAGAGAGGTTGTCCAGAGTTTTGTGTTCAGTTCTAACACCTAACTCTATTTCTCCTTTCCAACTGATTCCTGGGAAGCTGTTTCAGCCCTAAACCAGTGTCTCGGGTCAGTCATGGACTGGATGAGGAAAACAAGCTGATGCTTGATCCAGACCAGGCAGAGGTACATCTGATCATGTGAAAGACAAATCAGGGAACAAGGATCCACTTTGTATTCAAAGCTCAGATTCCAAGCTTGGACGTACTCTTGAATTCATCCCTGAGCCTGGATGCTTATCTCTGCAGTGGCCAGGGATGTGGTTCCACAGCTAAAACAAGTGTGCCAGCTACACCTATTCCTTGAGAAGTCTGATCAGGTCATGGTGATACATGCCCTAATAACATCCTGTTTGAATTACTGTAATGTGCTCTACATGGGCTGCCTTTGGAAAGTGTTCAGAAGCTTCAGTGAATCCAGGATGTTGTGGCTAGAATCCACACTGAATTTGATTAAAGGGACAACATCAGCTACTGGTTCACTTCTGTGCACAATTCAACGTGCTGGTTTTAACGTATCTGTCCCTAAACGACTTGGGTTCAGCTATTTGTGGGACTGCATCTCTTCATTTCAACCTCTCTGCTCTAAAAACTTTGAGAAGCCTTTCTCTTTGCCTTACTGCTTTCAATTATACTGTTTTTACTTCTCAAAGTTCTTACATTTTGTAATTGTCTTAGTATTTATGATTTAAATTGTCTGTGTAAACCAACAGTTTAAATACACACAAAAACAGGTATATACCAAATAAATAAATAAATAAATAAATATTCCAATTTTGGGGTTTGTGTGACTTGCATATGATGGGACAGTCATGTGCACCATGCAACTGAAAAAGGAAGTCTTTAATTAATGATAATCTGCCATTAATGATGATATCATTCCACTGTTTGGGCAGAGCTGCACAATAGGATATTAGCCACTCCGGGAATAATTTAAAATTTTAATGTGGACGTTTAAAATGTCTTTTGATTCCTGAAGAGGACTCCATCCTTCACTCCAACTGCTCTAATCTTTCAAATGAATTTAACAGCAATACTAGATTGCAATCCTAGGATTTCCAGGAGGGCATTACAGACGGCCACAGAATGTTGCACACTGTTCCCAGTCTGAGTGTATAGAGAGTGAGATTTGATCTCAGGTGCCAATATCTGCACAGTTCACAGCTGTCCTGGCATCTATAGAAATCAAAAGAAAACATTCACAAGCAGGACTGCCCTAATAAACATAAAAATTGAGACAATCAACATCACCATAAAACAACTGCAAAGCAATCCTAACAATGCATATAACTTCATCTAGCACATCATTGTACAACTTTCCTCTACCATTTTCACTTTATCAGTCAAATTCAAAAGGACAGTAACTCACTCACTGTTATTGTTATGTGCTGGCAAGTCAGAACTGACTTGTAGACACTAGCAACCCTAATAGGATTTTTTTAAAGTAAGCGAGATATTAAGAGAGTGGTTTTATCAGTTCCACAACACAAAGTGCGTTTCCATGGCACAGCCGAGAAACTGAGCCTAGGTCTGAGTCCATTACTCTACCTAATATACCAAACAGGTATCTGACTCACACACTATCTCACTATATTGTTATATATCTTCCTAATTCTACATTTGAGCATACTATGATTGCAATCCTATAAATGATTTCCTGGGAATGTGACCCACTGTGCTTAATAATAATCATGTGACATCAAGTCAATTCTGACTTACAGCAACCCTTTCCAGGGTTTTTTATGTACAGGGTGCTCAGAAGTAATTTACCATTTCCTTCTACTGGGGGCATTCTTGGAGAGTACAGCTTGTCCAAGGCCACATGGACTGGCACTTTTAGGATGCAAAAATGTGAAATTGAACTCCCAACCTCTAGTTCTGTAGCCAGATACCTAACTCACTCCAACCAACCCCCTACATAATAGAACTTAATTCCATTTCTTCCTCAACTCTGTTAACAGGATGCTACTGTTAATAAAATAGACGATAGGAGACGCATAATCATTTCAAGTTAAAATCACAAACTTTTCAGTCATATCTTTTAAAACAACTGACAGCTGCTTATGCATCCAGAGGTTGATAAAAAGAATTTTTATAAGAAAGCATGAAAAAATAGAATTATATTCTATTTTTAAAAAGATGGTAATGTTATCTTATCATGCCTAAAGAAGGAAAGTGTCTTTTGAACAGACCCAAGGAATCTGGAATTTCTCTACACTGAACTTCTTAGAAATCTCTGACATTAGTGTCTTCCTATACAGAAATGAGAGAAGAGTCTAAATAATGCAATGAAATGGAATGACCAGAGGAAGCTACATGTTATACTGGTGCTTGCATCAATTTTCAAAGGCTTTCTTCTTCTTAACTGGGACATAAAACTACCCATTAGTTTCTTTTGTTAGACCTGTTAGACCTGTCTTGCAGGTGATGTACAGCTTAGTGGGGGAGGAAATAAACAGGTAATACAATAAAATATGAAATCAGCACAAACATTCAAAAACTAAAAGGCTTAAAATCATTACCCTAATATTTTATTATTATTTTAGTGGTAAAATGCTATCAGAACCAAATCAATCTACACAAGGCACAGCATCTTTTTAACGTGTGCACTCTTGATTCCTTAAATAAGGCTCTGAAACAGATCTCTAGTTTTGACCATATAAGCTGACAATAAAAACACTGGAAATATTTTAAGCATCTTTTATTAGGTCTTTGAGTTTTCATATACTTCTACCCTTGTTATGATTAAAATACTTGAAATCACTATGCTGTAATAGATCTAATGTTCTACAAGCCTATGCCTATAAAGCAGCATGCATAGCCTCTAGCCTGGAAGAGTACAACAACTATCATTTTTTTAAAGTACAGTGGTAGCCCGCTTGTCGATTACCTCATTGTATGACGAATCCGCTGTACAATGAGGTTTTTGCAATCGCTATTGCGATCGCGAAACAATGCGTCTATGGGGGAAAGCCGCTTTATGATGATCAGTTCCCTACTTCGGGAACAGATTTTTTGCTTAACGACAATCAAAACAGCTGATCATTGGGTTTCCAAAATGGCCGCCCACTGTGCAAAATGGCTCCCAGCTGTGTTAGGGATGGATTCTTCACTCTACAGGGAGCAGAAAATGGCCGCCCTATGGAGGATCTTCACTTTACGATGAGGTATTTCGCCTATTAGAACGTATTATCTGGTTTCTAATGCATTCTAATGGGCTTTTTACTTTTGCCGGACGACGATGTCGCTCTACAGTGATTTCGCTGGAATGGATTAATGTCGTCAAGTGAGGTACCACTGTACCAATTTACACTGACTAAGCAATAAAGATCAGATGAACTATTCAAGCAATTGCCTGATGTTCTCTTATAAAAATGTTTTGTGAAATGTGTTTACACCACATTTGATGTAAGCAGCACAAATAACCACAGTAGTTAAGATATCCTGTAATTACAATATAATTTTTCTATCTGTAGGTCTGTAATGTGTGTGAGATTACTAACTAGGCAATTACAGTGGTGCCTCGCATAGCGATCGCTCCGTTTAGCGACGAAATCGCTTTGCGACACATTTTTTGCTATCGCAAAAGCGATCACTTTGCAATGTTCCCTATGGGGGAATTTCGCTTTGCAACGATCGGTTCCCTGCTTGGGGAACCGAGCATCGCAAAGCGACCATTTTCGCACAGCTGATCGCCAGTTTAAAAATGGCCGCCGGGAAAAAAACATGGCCGCCCGCTGTGTTTAGAGACGGATTCCTCGCTTAAGAGGCAGCAAAAATGGCTGCGCTATGGAGGATCTTCGCTGAACGGTGAGTTTCCAGCCCATAGGAACACATTGAAGAGGTTTCAAAGCGTTTCTATGGGCTTTTTAATATCGCATAGTGATGTTTTCGTTCTGCAGCGATTTTTGTGGAATGAATTAACGTCGCAATTCGAGGCACCACTGTATTTGATTGCTCTGGACCAGTTCCTAATGACAAAGCCTATAATCAGTAACTGGCACCTCTTGACAGATTCAGAAGCAGGGCCAAATCCGTCTCTGAATGGCATGAACTTCTGTCAATAACAAAAAAAAGGAAATTATGCTTCCCAGTTTTACTAAAAGATTACCTACACTGAAAAATTCATCTTTCAGAATGCATTCCACTGTGGTGTGAACTTTCAAGATGACAGAGGAAAACCATGACAGACAGCCAATGTTAGCAATGACTACACGTACCAAGTGCAGCTGCAGTGCTGTTATATCACACTGCATGTGCAGACTCAGTTCTTAATCTTCCTTCTATCGAAAGACAAAATGCTCACCTGTGCAAATGCCTTATCAATGGCAAGCAGCAAACTGACATATTATCCACACACAAACCCAAATATACAAATGGACACTCCAGCTTTGGAATCAGTGGTGCAGTTAGATAACCTCATAATCTAGATTTAATGGTCTGGGAGGAAGGACTTCTTTAAATAGTGCATTGATTCACTTACTTTAAGTAGTAAACAATCCCCTGTTTCATTAAGGGACCATTCTGCTTATTCTGTTCCTTGAGGCTCCAGACTTCTACCCTTGCTTCCAGCTCTCAGAGGCACATCTGGTGGGGATGCAGCAGCTTTTCGTGGTTTCTGTTTCCAGGCTCTAGAAGACTGGCTGGTTCTGTTGTTCTTATGTTTTCAGGCAAGTGTCTTTTTATCCAGGTAGACTTTCTGTAGCTTAATGAGGAAGACGTATTTTAGCGGACTGGGTGTTGTATTTTATTTACTGATGAGTTTTTCAATTTTGTTTCAACTGCTGTTCTTCAATTCATTCTTGTGCTGAGCTGTCTTCAGTCCCATTTTTTCGGAGAAAGACAGGATATAAATTCATCATTACATAAAAATAGTATTTTATAGTACATCAACGTCAGATGCTTTTATCAAATCACACACTGAGCCTATGCATATGCCTGCCTTAAAAATGTGTGGGGGAATCTGTTCTTCTGTTTCACCTTTCCTGCATGTGGATACTTCAAGAGATTTAGTTATAATGTTACAATAATTACTTAGTTACATACATATGTACAGTAAAGTGGTGCCTCGCTTAACGATTTTAATTGGTTCAAAAAAACATCACTATGGGAAAACATCGCTAAGCGAAACACGTTTTCCCATAGAGATGCATTGAAAACCGTCCATTGCCGTCCTTAAGCGAAAATCGCCATAGGAAGCATCGCTAAGCGAAACGCGGTTCCCCTATTGGAATGCACTGAAACCTTTTCAATGCATTTCAATAGGGGAGAAAAAAATCACCAAAAATTCAAAAAGAGTCAATTGCAAAAACGGACATCATTAAGCGAAACAGGGGACCCAAAACGCATTCGCTATGCGAAGCATGGTCCTGAAATCACTAAGTGAAAATCGCCCATAGAAAACATCATTAAACGATGTGGAAAATTCTTTAAAAAACCCATCGTTAAGCGAATACATCGTTAAATGAAGCAATCGCTAAGCGAGGCACCACTGTACTCCATTTCTAAGCTTCCAAAGTAAAAGACAATATACCCTATTTCCCCTAAAATAAGACCTAACCTGAAAATAAGCCCTAGCATGATTTTTCAGGAAGCTCATAATATAAGCCCTACCCCCAAAATAAGCCCCAGTTAAGTGAAAACCCACCCTCCACCATTGTGCAGCAACCAGAATAAGATGACATGACTGTACTTGAATAAACGTAGATTGCTGTACATGAAAAAAAATAAAAATAAAACATCCCCTGAAAATAAGCCCTAATGTGTTTTAGCGCAAAAACTACTATAAGACCCTGTCATATTTTTGGGGAAATTATGCTGCAAGATGTTCATATTTAAAATATACATGGTAGCAGCTTTTACAAATGTCTCTGAAATATTTAACTTAGTTTTCCTAGAAAGTGAGCTCAAATCCTTACACACTTCAAATATCTGTGGAGCTACACACAAAAAAAAGTTCTGCTTTACAAGTATACTACTGCCATGATTACAGACTTGGCATTTTCACTGTTAAACATGAAAGTGAACAGCTATAATCTGAAAATTAAGATAGTACTTGTCATTCAGCTGGCTCACACACTAGAATCTAGATCAACACTCTCAAAAAACTTTTGACATGCTTGGCCCAGGTACAAATCCCCTCTCCGCATCACCACAGAACTTAGAGTTACCTGCCCTCTTAAACTGAGGTGGCATACTGACAGAACTGGTCCAAGCCCAGTCCTTTATCATGCGCAAATTGTGGGTTAAGTGGGAAAGTGTTACTGGAAGAAGTTGATTTAGTACTATTAATGAAAGCCTAACACTTTTGTTGGGTCTCACTTTCTGGTTGCTTCAGAGTGGAAGATGGGACAGCTCTTGCCTATAAAGTACAGTATTTATGTGTGAAGAGGGAGGGCTTGAGTTCAGATTGCCCTCTCTAACCCCAGGCTAAAACTCCAAGGATATACAGACCGTGATATCAGCCTCACCACCAAGACAATCTTAGTTGGGAGAAATGAGAATAATGGATTCTCATAAGTTTCTAGTTATTAATTTGTGTATTTAATACTTCTAAAAATACCCTTGACTATTTTTTTAATTAGGATAAAGTAGGCAAACATTTGAAACAACATACTACTGAGACAGCTTACATATTATCTGGGTATGAATCACTCACAGAATAATGACAGCATGCCATGCTTAGACAAGAATGCATGGACATCTAACAATCTAGTGACCCAAGTATGCAAAAAAAGGAAGCAATCACTGTTATGCAAGAGGTATGCAGGGATGTATGATTTGCAAATGTATATGTTTTAGTCATTACATCTGGATAGAATTTGTGACATGGCATCCATTTTATAACATTTCACAAACTGCTGCATTTTACTTCAATCAACAAATCCCAACATACTGAGTCCCTAAATAGTAACAAAATATAAAGGTCCATAAATATTGTTTTAGTTTTTCTTTAGTTTTTATTATATTTCTGTCTTAGGTGGACACTTGTTGCCCCTGGCAGGCTATTTACCCATCTTCAAGTCTCTGGGATGACCCCCGTGCTGGCCTTGGCAACAGAGCTAGCAGGAGACACAGGCAGGGAAACAGAGCACGTGGAAGAAGTGGAGGGAGACTGCACAGGTGGAATGGAAGAAGGAGAACCAGGTATGAGAGGAAGGGAGTGATGGGCATAAGTGTGGGAAGAACTGCCACTGGTCTATTGAAGGCTAGTGGATGCATGCCTGAATATACTTTGGGAACCCTGGACTGGTGAGCAGGTGGACCTGGCCAGGAGATGAGGATGTGGGGATGATGCAGCTGTTTTCACCTCATCTCACCACCACTGGACAATCTACCACGACAACCTGCCTGGACCCATGCCATCCAGTGGAAAAGCTGGTGTCACTGCTGTCAATGCATGCATCCCTTGCAGCTCTCTTGTGTGTTGGGGGAAGACCTCCCACTGCCGAAACAATTGAGGTCAGGCTAACGCCAACCTCCCAGTCTATTGACTTGAAACTCTTGTTTGGGCTAATAACAATTATACAAGGAATCCTGGTTCTGTTGTGTCTGTGGAACTAATACGCAAGGAGTCTTTTCAGATTCCCTACCTCATCCCTGGAGGAGTTGTTGAGGTGCACAACTTGTATTAAATTCTGTCTAATAACCTGCATCTTTATATTTTTGGATGTGCAATACAACAAACTCCCAGAAAGAGTAGTCCATGTAGTTTATCCAGGTTAAAGGTGTTTCTTCTTAAAGGAGAAGGGGATTACAGGCAGAGATATTTCAATCTCCTATGATTTTAAGAATTCATGACTATAGCAACTGGGAACTAAATCTAAGTTTTAATACATTGCGGGGTATGTGATCTATCAAGTTAAAATCTTCAACATGTCTGCAGACATGTCTACATGTCTGTAGTTAGTTATGCATAGAATTTTTATGTTTAGGAGTTTAATATGAAACACAAGATGTTTATGACAGATCTCTGGTGCTTACATAGTGTAGAAATACTGTAAGCACCTAAATGTGGCTTCACAGAATTTATCGTCTGCAACTTTACAATGTGCATTTAGCAGATAATGAAATGTACAACTCTGGCATAATACAAGCCCTACTTTCATGACACTGACAGAAGTTGACTCAGGATAGCTGAAAGTAATTTATGAAACATGCAAAATTTACAGAATAATTTGCTGGCCTAAAGTCCAACAATGGGCACTGGCACTGACAGCTTTAGAAGTGGATTAGATCATTCATGGAGATAATCTCTAACAAAAGCTACCAGTGATGGTATCAAAACACAATTTCCAGTTTCAGAGGCAACAAGCTTCAATGCTAGTTGTTGGAGAGGGTTTTTGCCTTCATGTCCTACTTACGGGTTTCTGAAAAGGATACCACTGGTCATGAACTGGAATCTAGATGCATCTTGGGCAAGACCCCTTATGCACCAATAACTGGGTTTATGACTCTAGCAACTGGGAACTAAATCTAAGTTTTAATACATTGCAAAATATATGCATAAGTATATTTATAGGGTGTAAGCACCTTATAAACCTCCTGCCTCCTGTGTATTACCTGCCTCAGGGAATGCATAAAGCACAAATTCTTTTGAAAGGTAGAGAAGTTGTTCAAATGCTAAAACTCTCCCAAAACAAGTACTGTATTGTAATCAAGCATATGCTCTACCCAGAATCTTTAAAGAGCCTGGCATTCACCTGAAATGTCAAAGTTTCTCAGGCTTTATAAAAAAAAGTGTGATTGGTGCTTATTTCAGAATACAATATGGGTCAGTTACTGAACTGAGCTCATAAGAAGTCTTATCTGTCACAGAATATAGGCTGGTACATACATTTTGCAACTACTACAGTATGTGCCACACCAATGACACAGTATATTGAGAACTGTTATCCCCCCCTTTTCTTTTTTAAAAATTACAAACTTGTGTTCCTCATGCTTTGAATCTGTTTCTGTTCTGAACTGAATGTGTATACAATTACTGTGCAATACAAGATTATTTGGATTATCAATTTCAATGGTTTCTTTTAGAAAACATCTTTGTTTTGCATCTGCATCCCTGTGCAGTACTGGCACTCCTCCATTAGAAATATTTGCCTTCTAACTGCCAAATGAGTTGGAACATGCAGCAAGTAATATGTGGTATGTTTGAGATTTCCTGATTAAAGTGTTATAGTGGAGATGCTTGTTTAATGTTAATTTATCACAAGTCAGTTATCACTAAGCACTAACTGAAGTGCCAGAATAAAGGCCACAGCTCTAACTGCTTTTACTTAGAAGTAAGTTTCATGACCAGATAATTTCTGTATCTCCTTATAATTGAATCCTATGATCTTATTAACATTTTTAAACAAAAGTATTTTTAATACTAAATCAACTCTTTTTGTCAAAATTATTCCTATGTTATACTTAAAAGACTGATATCAAGAAGCATCATTTTAGGCTTCCATGTATCAATGAGAATTACTTTAAAGGAAAATTTGCCTAGAATTTTATACTGACATTTTAATATTATATCCTGTATTTGTACTGAACCATATTAACTTTTGCACCTCCTTAATTACCAGAGAACATGCAAAGAATGAAGTCAGTCTTCTCAAAAACCATTACTCTACATGGAATTCAACTTTCATTAAAACATTCTCCTTAAAAAAAAATAATGTACTGTATATATAAGGAGAAACAAGCAGTGAATAATACTATACAAGTTAACACATAATCTTCTCCACATTTTAAAAATCATCACATTTATGGAAGCTAGAATTTTGTAGTGAACAACAAAAATAAACAAAATAAATACAAACCAATAGTCTGAGTAAGCCTAATTTCTAAGGTGTCAATATGTCTATCAAATGTCTTTGGTTGCAATTCTCTCATTTTCGGAAGACGTCCCAAGGGATAAATAATGCTTCAGAGCAGTGTATCACTCCTCCTATGAGAGGAGAGGAGAGGTCTGATCCAGCAACTTCTTGCCAGTTGCTGAGAGAACTCCTATGCCTACTGCTGTGCCGGCACTGGGAGATGCAAGAATATTCCAGAGGACTCAAAATCCTTCCCACAACTGGGAAAATGAATGTCAGCCCTGGAAAGAACACAACAATTTCTCCCCTTTAATATTCCATAGGAGGGAATTCATAAATTTCAAAACAAAGCAAAACAAAATGTGAGGAAGAAAAGAGCTGTTCCTCCTTTTCTTCTGTCCTCCCAATATGAGACAGGGTGGGCTTTGGAGAAAGCTGATTACGCAAACTGCTGATTTGTATCTGTACTGTACTTGATCTCTCACTCATCTGTAGGACTGTTCTGCATGTCATTTTAAACAGCATGCTCCTTTAACTTGTTCATATTTTCAAATCCAGAAATAGAAAAACTAAAATTGCTTTGGAAGATCACTTTGATAATGGCAGGACAAAATCATTTGCAACTGTTTTCCCCACAGGTAGGTTACTGTGATATAAAACAGAACAGAATTTGCTTCTAATGACTCCCTTACAGGTTTACCAGCTATTTGGACCCTCCAGTCCATCGAAATTAATCCACACTATTCAAAGCAAAGGATCTTCTTTCTGTCAAAAAAAGACTATGTTTCTGTATTCCTTTATAGTATTACTTCGGGAACATATTAGAAGACAACAAATGCCATCTACTTCATAGTTTTTGTAAAGATTGTGTTAGAAACCTAAATATAACTGCATGAAGTTGTTGAATCAGTAGGAACAACATCACAATCCCATAATTAGATTCTTTAGGTAAAATTAAAGTTTTTCCTATTTTGTTTCCCCTAGTACAATACAGTATACAGTACATCTGACCAAACTCCGGGAGGCAGTGGAAGACAGGAGGGCCTGGCATGCTCTGGTCCATGGGGTCAAGAAGAGTTGGACACAAACAACTAAACAACAAAGTACAATATACATTCAATAATCTCCTTTTTTGAGCAACACAGAGCTAGTGTGGTCTTCCATTGGATCATCACTGCTATTGGTACAAAGCTTTCAAAAGTCAGCCATTAACATTTAAATTAATTTAAAAATGCATTTAAGAAGTGTGTGAACAGAAGAAAAAACAACCTCTTAAGTTGTAATAAAACTGAGATAACCACAAAATACAACAGCTGTAAAAGCTGTTCAACTTTTACAATAATATTATCCAAATAACCCTCTGCATTATACTGTATTTGTATAAATCTCAATCCTTTCCTTTTAAAGAGAGCTGTACTTTAGCCTCACAATAAGCCTGTCTGATGACAGTTACACAAGACCATCCAGCAAGGCCAAGCAACCTTTCTGTAATAGCAGGTTTCTTTACAATGGTTAACATCATAAAAATGCCAAGGAGAGATTGTTAGTAAACACACAAGGACATGTGCCAAAGGAGTCACATTTGGACAGAGCACTACTGCATCTTTAAAAAAAATACACAGGTCACAGCAAATGAGAATTGGAACCAGGTTTGCTTTCTACAAACACAATAATCTAATCACTTATTCCTTTCCAAGGAGGGGAAGGGAATCCCCAGTAACTAGCAACTGGTGCCACCTAGGTATGACCACTTTATAATAGAAATATACAAAGACTCTAAGAACATGGAAAATAATCAGCTTGATGCTCATAGCTGCTGAAGAGATACAAGGTCAAGAGAAGAGCTGAAAGAGATTTACAGCCCTACTTGCCAACAGGGCATAAGTGAATCTAAGAAATCAGTAAGTGGAACCTTAAAACCGCAGCCCTGGAGGTTCACAGAAACAACCCTGTTACAGTATTCGTGCAGGCATCGTCACTAACAAGAACGGAAAGCTGCACCCCACCCTTTCTCTCGTCCTGATCATGAGCACCCTAGGGTCACGACACGAGTACACTAATCTCCTTACAAGCAATCTTGAGCGTGTATTCCTTTGGACAACACGGAGGACTCGGGCGCTGACAAAAGGAGAATCACCTACCAATATGAAGCCTTGGGAGGGGGCGGGGGAGGAAAATAAACAAAAAGAGGGACACCGAAGGCCTGAGGAAACCCCTTCCGACGCCCACACAGATCTCCCTCAGCTTGAGAACCTCCGTGGAAGTCGAGAGGCAAAAGGGGAGGGCCGGGGTTCGAGGGCCGTGGAGGCGAAAGGAAAAACGGCAAAGGCAGAGGGAATCCCAATCCCTGGTCTTTCCCGCCCCTCCCAGCGACGGCACCTGCCACGACCCCTTCCTATAAACCAGGCCTACTCGAGGCGCCCCACCAGTCATCTTCCTGCATAACCGGAAGAAATCTCTCACAAAAGCCCAAGGAGAAGAACCCTCCTCAGCCGCCCAAACTCTCGCCGGACCGCCCAAGGAAGCTCAACGCACTTCTTACCAGCCAGAAAGGCGACGACTCTTCGCCTAAAATGGCAGCCAGTCCAAGTTCAACCTGAGGCAGCGACTCTCCAAAGTCGGATACAAGCGGCGCACGCGCAGAGCGGACGCGGGAGAGGGGGAAAGGCGAGTGCAGGAGAGAGGACTACAATTCCCAGGACACCACGCGAGAGCTTCGGCGCCTCTGGATTGGCTCCTCAGGAGTAAAGCTATGCGGCTCGGAAGGAGCGGGTTGAAGTCCACTTGTCACGAGTGGCTGTATCGTTCAGTGTCTCCGGGTTGGTTTCGATTTACTCGGAAAGTGGGAGTGGTTGTTCTATGGTGGGTAGTTCTCGAGATGGAAATTTTATAACTTTTGCCCAACTTTCATTTCGCGGCTTAAGGTTGTCTTCTCAAGCCTGTGAAGTTTTACACGAATAGCGTTTCTAGCCCGTAGGGAATATTTTCTGGCCAACAGTCCATGACTCATCTCCCTTGTCCATGCCACTTGGGTTAAAGAGTATGGTTACAAACAACTGTTTGTGTTTTTCCCCTAGTTTTATTTAATAATTGCTGGTCCAACAAGAAATTCAACCGATGGACCTATTCCAACTCTGTTCTTGTTTATCGAGGTAAAAAAATGTCTTGTTAAAGTAGAACAGCATTCTGACTAGTCAAGCCAGAAATCCTTGAACGATTTCAATTTTTACTTAAGAAACGCTTGAAAAGAACATATGCTTCAATTTAATTTGCAAATCAAACATATCCAAAATACACAGAAAATATTGTGCAGCTGTATCCTCCTTTCCCGGAGGCAGTGGAAGACAGGAGGGCCTGGCGTGCTCTGGCACACGGGGTCACGAAGAGTCGGACTCGGCTTAACGATTAAACAACAATCCTCCTTATTAATAAACCTAATCTCAAATTATTCACTAAAACTGGATCCAAGAATGTAGAGACCTGTTAGCAGAGTGTCTATTCTGCATGAATTGTTAAATACATTGGTAAACATGCAGAAGAATATGCTTTAGAAATGTCAAGTATAGCTAGTATAGAATCTCATGAACCCTGTAGAATTATTTGATAGTACTGTATCAAAGAAGCAAGAAGAGGGGATCATCTGGCAGACATCCTTTGTATCGAAACAAAAAGAAGGTTAGTATTGAAATTTCAAAAAGCTTTTGACAAAGTCTATTTGCAAGGCTGCTGAGTAAACTTAGTTAAAAGTTCAAGTCTAGTGGAAAGAGTAAGAAGCAAAGGGCAAGACTAAATGGACAGGTCTCACAAGGGAAGAATGTTAGACATGGGACATCACAAGAATTAGGGACTAGTGCTTTTAAACTTGGTACAGTGGGGTCTTGACTTGAGAACTTAATCTGTATTGGAAGGCGGTTCTCAAGTCAAAAAGTCTGTAAGTCAAGTCTCCATTGACCTACAGTGCATTGAAAACCGATTAATCCCGTAACAGGCCGTTTTTGTTCCATTTTGGTTTTTTTCTGGTCTGTAAGTCAAATCTCAGTCTGCAAGTCAAACCTAAATTTTGCGGCCAGAGAAGTCTGTAACTCAAAAAGTGTGTAAGTCAAGCCGTCTGTAAGTCAAGGGTCCACTGTAAAGTATTTGAATAAGACATGTGACAACCAAGTTTTCTCCACTGTAGAAGGACAGATTGCAAAAAGATCAAAAATATTAATGGAATTATGTAACTGAATAGTAAAATATCAAATTTATTTCAGTGCAAGTACAGTGCATAGCTATGAGCTTTGGGGAAATACAATAAAATAAAAATCAGACGTTGGAAAATCAATTTGTCAACCTCAATTTTGACATCAATCTGTATACACATCAATCTGTTATGTTAACTGTTCATATGTATGACTAGTACATTGCTTTTAGAATTATAAAAAATAAAATAAAGTTGGCACAAAATAGCCAACACCCTGCAAAAATTACCCCCAAATTAACTCATTGAACAAATACAGAATGTTAATTATTACTTGTACAGTTAATACTAAAATTTCTAAAATGACATACAGTATTTTTAAATGGGTGCTATGCCCAGCTCTGCAAAAAGGAAACAAAACCCTACATCCTTATATCAAATATACACTGGTAGTCTCAGATAATTACTGATTGACCAAGACCTTTGGAATACAGTACTATTAACTGTTCCAGTTGTTGTCCTACTTCATAATGTACAGGTGGAAAAGATTTGGAATAATAAAACCAAATATATCGTGGGTGTTATTACTGCTAAACTGCATATAACAATAGTAACATGTTTTATGAAAGTAATCTTCTAGCTGTTTTAAATGGGAAAACCAACTTCATTTGTCTTGCTTGTAAGAACTGTTTTTTTAAAATATAAATCTTATAAACTTTGCAAACATTTTATCATCATCTTGAGCAACGAACATGCTAACTTTCAGAAACATTGAATAAAGATGCATTGTTTTATTCTTGAAGAATTCTTGAATATTTTATTGTTTTCTTCTGAATTGGAAAGTTGACGTGTTTTCTCAGTTTCTTAAATTTTTCCCATTTCTCACCTAGCGTTCCAATAATATATCTGTTTTCACTGTCAAGGTTCTTGTGGTTTCATGAATGTACCCATTTCCAAAACAATGCTTTATGTGAGAAATTAATGAGGGGAGCAAAACCAGAACTGCCTTTGTTACTGTCTTGCTTTTGTTTACTTCTACACTAGTGTCACACTGGAATTAAAGTACAGTGATTTAATTTCACACTGATTTCTGAAACTACATGCTTTCGAACTGCTAGGTTGGCGAGGAGGTGGGACAAGAGCTCACTCCATCGCGTGGATTCGATCTTACGACTGCTTCTCTTCTGCCCCTGTAGCACAGAGGCTTCTGCGGTTTAACCCGCAGCGCCACCACATCCCTGAGTATTGGAGCCTCAGCTTCAGGATCTGTCGTTCCAATATGAGGGTTGATTTCGTTTAAAATGGATAGGTTTGTTCTCTTTGCAGTCCAGGGGACTCTCAAGAGTCTCCTCCAGCACCACAATTCAAAAGCATCATTTCTTCAGCAGTCAGCCTTCTTTATGGCCCAGCTTTCACTTCCATACATCGCTACTGGAAAAACCATAGCTTGCCTATGTTGACCTTTATCGGCAAGGTGATGTCTCTGCTTTTTAAGATGCTGTCTAGGTTTGTCATCGCTTTCCTCCCAAGAAGAAGGCGTCTTTTAATTTCGTGGCTGCAGTCACCACCTGCAGTGATCATGGAGCTCAAGAAAGTAAAATCTGTCACTGCCTCCATATCTTCCCCTTCTATTTGCCAGGAGGTGATGGGACCAGTGGCCATAATCTTAGTTTTTTTGATGTTGAGCTTCAGACCATTTTTGTGCTCTCCTCTTTCACCCTCATTAAGAGGTTCTTGAAGTCCTCCTCATTTTCTGCCATCAGAGTGGTATCATCTGCATATCGGAGGTTGTTAATATTTCTTCCAGCAACCTTAATTCTGGCTTGCGATTCCTCCAGTCCTGCCTTCTGCATGATGTATTCTGCATATAAGTTAAATAAGCAGGGAGACAATATACAGCCTTGTCGTACTCCTTTCCCAATTTTGAGCTAATCAGCTGTTCCACATCCAGTTCTAACTGGATTTCGCAGGAGATAGATAAGGTGGTCGTGTTATTAGAAAAGAGTGTTTGTGATGACCAGCTTGTTCTCTTGACAAAACTCTATTAGCCTTTGTCCTGTTTTGTTTTGAACTCCAAGGCCAAACTTACCTGTTGTTCCTTTTATATCTTGACTCCCTACTTTAGCATTCCAATCCCCTATAATGAGAAGAACATCTTTCTTTGGTGTCAGTTGTAGAAGGTATTGGAAGTCTTCATCGAACTGGTCAATTTCAGCTTCTTCAGCATTGATGGTCGGTGCATAAAGCTAGTAAAGATTAATGCAAGCAGTATCAGTTAGACTTTGGACCTTTACTCAGTGTCTGTTCATGCATGTAATATTTCTGCTAAGTAAGTGTTTTTGTTCTAATACTTATGTTCCTCATCTGCCTTAGTGGAATTTTGCTCTTTTAACAGCACCACAAAAGGTTTTTGCCCTATGATACCTCAGCAACTTTATGATTAAGTGTGATTATCTACTCCATTTCCTCTGCAACTAGTTCAATGCTATGCACAGCTAGGGAAAAATGTAAAGTTAAAGGTTCCCCTTGACAATTTTTGTCCAGTCGTGTTCGACTCTAGGGGGCGGTGCTCATCCCCGTTTCCAAGCCATAGAGCCAGCGTTTTTGTCCAAAGACAATCTTCTGTGGTCACATGGCCAATGCGACTTAGACACGGAACGATGTTACCTTCCCACCGAGGTGGTCCCTATTTATTTAATTGTATTTGCATGCTTTCGAACTGCTAGGGTGGCGGGAAACACCAATATTTATGTACAATCAAGCTACAAGATACTTTGGAAAACAGTTAAATTTTCCATGGAAGTGCAAAGCAAGGACAAGAAACTCTGCATAACAGGAAATATTATTTGAAGAGTCATATTTAGACTAAATAAGTATTTTTGTGACTAGGTAACATCCTATTTATTTCATTGGAACTGGAGCATTACGAGCTTAGTCAAGAGTCCAACCCCAGCTATGGGAAATGATTATTAGGTATGCAGTAAGTAAGTGGACAATGCATAAATATTTTTTATTTGAACAGAAGGTGCAATTGTTAGCGTCTCATGAAGATAAATAACATAAATACTCTATGCTATAGAATGGAGGGTGCTTCCAGGCAGTGGCTTCTATTCCTAACAATCAAAAGTGTGTGCTGTGTGCTATTCTATCTTTGTCTTCCTAACAGATGTTTCATTGTAAGAACACTTTATTCTGCATTCAAATATGGAATTATGTGAGCGCTGATAAGCCTAGATTACATAATGATGTGAAATTTTATGAATGAGGCAAGTAATGACATAATGAATACTGAGTCCAGAAGTGTCCAAGTTCGATATTTTAGAAAAAAAAGTATTGTCACTGCTGTGGGTGTGGTACTGTTGCTGTGATTGTACTTGGCTCTCTACCTGTTTCTAAATTGTCTTTGTGAAATAGCTTGACTTTTAGGCTTTGCATAGCAGGATCTCAGTCTTGCATGTTTCACAAACTGTGAAGAAGCAAGAACCGAAAGCCTGACAAAAAGCAGGAATACTGGCTTTA